TTAGTGATATCTAAAACTTTCTCAAGGACACACAGAGTTTCTAAATATAACCTCCTCAAGGACCACTGAAAGCATCTTAAAGACTTTTAAAACAAATCACACTCCATCAAGACCACTGGAACCACATAACAAACCCCTAAAACCTGACAAGACCATCTTATGGAGAACTGGAACCCCCTGAATAACTTAAACAACCTCCTTGCACAGTAACATTCTCAATCAGTCTCCTCAGAGACCACCGGAACCACATAAAGTATAGAAGGACTTCCGTACAAATAACACTGAGACACTTAGAACTAAGGGCCACTTGAACCACCTTAAGGAGCTCTGGAATCCCTCAAGAATCCATCCATTATCTATACACTGCTTCATCCTCACTCGGGTCACAGGGCGGCTGACTTAGGGTGAAGGGCGGGGACACCCTGGACAGGTCGCCAGTCGCAGGGCTACACTTACATTCACACCTATGGACAATTTAGAATCACCAATTAACCTCAACATGTTTTTGGACTGCCTAGAGAACCCACGCTGCACGGGGATGCAAACTCCACGCAGAAAGATCCTGGTGCCCCCACTGGGACACGAACCGGGAACCTTCTTGCTGCGAGGCAACAGTGCTACCAACTGCGCCACCTTGCAACCCTCCCTCAAGAATCACAAGAATATTTGCAAGGATAAATGGAGCCAGATTACAAAGCCACAGAATCTCCTCAAAGAACCTCTGGGATCTGTTCACAGATCCACATAACCATCTGAGTGACCACTGGAACCTTCTCAAAGACCACAACGTTCTCCTTAAGGACTGCGCTTAAGTAGAATTCCTGAACATTCTCATGTGCAAAGAAGAGGTGAAAACCAACAACAAATTTATCCAGATGTCCTTGTTGAGAGAACTAAATTCAAGTTGATCTAGAGGTAATTAGATTGAATTCATGTTTTGAACAGCAGGGCCTGTAGGCAGCTGAGGAAAGCTGTGCCAGCAGCAGAAATACAGCTTCGTTTTTAAAATTAAAGATGTGCATGTGTTTGGAAGGCAACGATGATGCAGACAACATTCACCAGAAATCACACTCAGAATAATGAAGACAAACTGTTTCCTGAGACTGTCAGACAGAAACACACAACAGAAGCAAGCTGTATGATTTCACTGAACATGTTTGAATTTGCAGCAGCAGAGAGGACATCAGCTCAGCTGCTGTTTGTTTTACATCCTCCAATTACCTGAACTAATCAGAGGAGGTCGAGGCACACATTACCTACATATTATAATAAACTTTACTTGAAATTGAAATCTGTTTTCCAGAGACCTGAGAAAATGAAACATTCATAATCAGGCAAGTACACAATTAGCATATAGCCTCAAACGGAGTGTGGGGTAAGCTTATATTGCATTACTGTAATTATATTACATTTGTCTGTAATGCAGTGATGTAACACATTACAGTTACTAATCAGTGACTACTTTTATTTTAAAGCAGTATAGCCCTAAAACTAGTGCCACCTTGATTCTCTGAGAGAGGCAGTTGAGTCTTGATCTTATTTTGATATTTTTCAGTGAAGAGCTCTTTGGGCTGGTTTTCATCAGCTTCACTATTAGATTTATGATAATACATTATTAAATACATGCATTTTCCTTTTTAGGACAGGATGTGCGCTGATATGTGGGTCCAACATTACATTGTTAACTGGCAAAATATTGGCGATGTTGGGGAGGGATGTTAAAGTAATGCAAAGAGTAGAACCATAAATCACTTTCTACATGGAATAAATTTTGTTTTTTGAGTAACATCCCCAGAACTGAACATATCCAAGGCCAGATAAACCAACAAAACACCAGCAAGCAGAAAGGTGACAGAATCCAACTTGACTGTTGTTTACAGTTCATTGTATTTAGGAGCTAAAACAGTTGTAAATAAGAGATATCCAAGGCTATCATGTAGCTGCTAGATTTAAATGTGTAGATAAATATTTCTTCTATTGTGTAAAGAAGTCAACCTTGGTTGGTCAAAATATCATCACAATCGATATGTAATCATAAGTATGGAAATCAAGGTTGACTGTAAAATAGAGTTTATCTTTAAAAAAAGACAGACAGACTTTAATTAGACACAAGAAGCCAAGTGCAGTTTCAATTTTGGGGGTTGGATGTTGGATATAAATCTGCCGTAAATCCAAATTTGGAGGCATTTATAAGACATGAGTGATGTGGTGATGACAGTGATGACAGAGTGATGTGGGTACCATTTTAACATTTTAAAGGGAGGTCAGTCAGTGGCACTGGTGGAGGAGGACAAAACCATGTTCTTAGATTTGAACCAACTGCATCATCAGCTCCATCATTCATTCCAGGAATACTCACATCCTGCTTACTGTTCACACTGAATATAATCCATTGCATGCATTCATTTGGTACAAGCACACATTTCTACATTTATTTATGTTTGATTATTTGTCAATATTATAATTTCTCCCCTTATTTTTCTTCTATTGTGTTTATTATGTTCAGCTCAGTTTCCTCCTCAGCCAGGTTGATTTGCTGCAGGTTTTACTGTCTGAACCTCTATGCTGCCACCTGCTGATCACCTTTAAACATCACAACAACAAAAACACAAAGTCACACACAGGTAGTCTCACTTTGCCAGCCCGTTCTGTAGAACTGGATTTGGGCAAGATCAAAAGACAATTAATTATAAAGCTTCAAGCTATGTGCTCACAGAATAGCAGCAGTAAATTTATAATTTTTTTATGGTTAATTTGAATAGTACTTATTTAAAAACAAAATAACTAAAGCCGAGAAAACACATTTTAATGGCAGACTATTCTCTCTTTTGATCAGAAAACTGATATTTTTTATTTGATATTTTTAGGTTGCATATAAAGTCTGAAATAATTGGTAGAATAAATGGCTTAATGAAGATTTTTCAATTTATACATCAGTTTTCAGCTTCTGTCAACACGGTCTGAAAAAAAGATAAATCAACAAAATGTTTCGGGGTCCGTTTCACAAAGCAGGTTCAACAAACTCTGAGTCTAATCCTGAACTCTGAGTTGATCTAGATAGAAGATTAGATAGAACTGTATTGATCCCTTTGGTAGGGTACCTCAGGGAAATTGTTGTTGATCTACTCTGAGATAGGAAACTCTGAGTTTCCGGTTCCAGAACAATGCATAAGTTTAAATGTCGTCTTTTCTAATCACAATAATATTACAGGAGAAAAGTGCTTGAATGGCAGCCTATTAATTTATTTCATTTAAGTGCAATCTGGTGGGGGAGAAGCGCACTAGGCAGCAGCTAAGATGAAATATAAAACCATTGTTCAAGTCTGAGGCTGCAGCATAATGTCATTAACAGAATATAATTTAAAATTACTTTAACAGATCTCTACATCATTCACCTGCAATCCTGTGGAACTCCTTGATGGCTCTGACAGGTTTGTGTCCAGGGAAAACCACAAAGATGCATACAGTTGCCTTACTCACGCACATTTCATTTTAAAAAACGTTATTGCAATCTTACTTTTACTTATAAATGAAGTCCATGCGCCGCTTCTTCTGGACAAAAATATCCATTACTTTTTTGTAAGCTGCTGAGTTGCTGTCACTTACTCTGCAGCCTTGGAGTCACAAGAAGAATGTGTGGGATCAGAGCGCCCCCTGCCGTGAGGCCAGAGAACTGCCTGCCTCACCGAGAACTTCTTCTCAGCTGCTTTATGATCGCTCAGCACACGAAACATGTTACACACATACAGTTGGTAACAAAACAAACAAACAATAACAAAAAAAAAACACTGTACATTATTATATACATCAGCTGAAGTATGGAAAATCAGTTCATATATTAAATGTGTTTCAACCATGTTATTGGCGACATTCAGACAGCAGCACACTGTCACTGCATAGCAGCCAGCACAGTTAGTGAGGGATTGCGCAATCCAAGGTGAGGCTCAGCTCGCTGCTGCCTCACTGGCTTCTCTTCCAAGCATTTGGATGAGAAATTGCAAAAATTAAGAGATTGTGAATAAAAAATTTAAAAAAATAAAATCATCAAAATTGGTGAGGCTAAATGAAAAAAAACTTTATCGTACAAATCACTGGATAAATATAATCATTTAAATTATTTTATAATTTGATTTGTTTTTCTTTCCCTGACCGCACGTCACTGATGGACTGTGACGTGAAACGGTGCCGCTCAAACAGTAAATTGTCTGGAAATGCTGGAACATCTATGCCATATATTTAATTCTCTGCGCATTAATGCTGCACCTTCCTCCAGTGGATCGTTATCAGAGGGACATGTTAGTGGCAAAAGCCGCCTCCTACTGTGCCTCATGGAATTCTAATACAGGCTACTGCTTCTGATTTTTAAAAAATGTTTTTTGACAGACGGCAGACGACGCCAAAACACGCCTGCTGACTGACTGAATGAATGAGGAAATCAAATAGGCTGTGTCCGACATCACTCCCTATGCCCTGTATAGTGCGTAGGGAGTAGAGAGTGAGTGGATGATTTCGGACACAGCCACAGTGTGTGTGGCTGAAAGAGGGCGGAGACAGAGAGAAACTCGAGGTTCACAGAGAAAAACCTGGTCCCGACCAGGATAAGTTCATAGAGTCTGTTACTACAGTAACTGACCGAGGTCTGAAGTTAGCTCTCTCTGTGAAACAGGCTAGAGTTACCCCTCTGTCTCTGGTTTGAGTTACCTCCCTTTGTGAAACGGAAAACTCAGAGTTTCCCTCATTTCAGGGTTAACAGACTCAGAGTTTTCACTAAACCTGCTTTGTGAAACGGACCCTAGTTCTTGGTGGGTGTTGGGATTGTTCTTTACTGCATCATATTGAAAAGTGTCAACAAAACCTTAATCTCCATGCAAAAGTAGTAATCAGAAAGTGCTGTTATACTGGACAGCAATCGTTCATACAACTGTACATAATAAAGTGAAATAAGAAAAAATATAGAAATATATATTAAAACCAAGTTACACATATAATGGGAAACTTTCTGTTTGCAAAAATAGATGTCTTTAATTTTTACAACATCAGAAATATTATTTTTACATTTTTAATTAGAAACAAAGCAGAACAAGTCAGGAAAGCAACAATTACACTTATTCAAATTAAACTCTAATTCCAGTTTCCCCTTATATACACACATCTTTAAAAAAAAATAAATGACATCCATACTCTCACCCAACCATCACCAAAACAACAACAACAACAAAAACAACAGCATCAGTAAATCAAGTTAAAATGTTGTCCCTTTATTACAACACTTTTAGCGGTGGCTGGGGCTTCACTCTGGATTCCTCATTGGCTCTTTAAAGCTGGATGAGATTTGAAAGTTTGTTTAAACCGGTGATAAACTCAATTCAGTCTGAGGACTTGGCAGCTTGTTTCAGAGACACTGAAGTTTTTTGTGAGGCCGATTCATCAAGTCATCATGTCATCAGTCCTCCAGGACGCCAAAGCTGTTGCTAAGAAGAAAATGAGGTCTGAGCACGGACAGGATGGGGCCCCGTGGGGCCCCAGCCAGACAGTATGCCTCGTCTGCACTTACACCAAGAGACCGCAGTGTCTGCAGAGCACCACCACAGCTGTCCCTGCCACCACACGACGTCATTAGGGCGATGCTGAGAGGGCTGTCAGATATGCCAAACTTCTGCCGCATCTTGCCCAGCTGAGCTGAGAAGGTCTGCAGAAAAATAAAACACAAGAACAACCTCAGGTCTCATATTAAGACATTCAGAGAATGAATGTCTCTAACCGTTAGAGTTTTCATAGAGCTCTGACCTGTGAGCACAGAATTAAAAATAATGGTACTGCCAGCCACATTAGCCGCGCAATGTGCCAACACTAATGATTTTCCTATCATTGCAGGGACATTGATGTCAAAAATCAAAGCGGTCCCCTGGATTTTCAGTTCCTCAGGTGCTGTTCACTCTTGTAGCCAACAGCAAAACATCTGATGTGCTCCGAGACAGTTTGGACTTAGCAGAAGCAGCTCTACAAAGTAAATGTGTGAGAGGCACCTGCTCTTTCTGAATAGTTTACCTGGAAGCAGTGAGGCATTAGGGGGCAGGATTATACAAAGTTTGAGCTAGACAACTATTGGTTCCACAGTTGGAAAGCAGAAGTTCAGTAAAATTCGTATGGGCTTGTAAAGCTGCGAGGATACCTGGCTGTGGAGGCTTGACGAATGGCAGAAGTAAACGTCTTTATATATTAACAGCTTTTATTTTACACCTCCAAGTTGATGACATCCCCAGAAGACAATAAAAATAGATTTTACACTCAATGAGACTTTTAAAAATCTCAAATGTTTCAGCACACAAATTTGGAAACATCCTGAGGTACAAAATAAATAAATAAATAAATAAGTGGTTTTTTTGTACCTGAGCAGTCTGTCTGCTTGCAGGTGTTTGGTTGGTACCGGGCCTGATGACGGCGTCACCGCAGAACAAAACTCTGAGCTGTTCAGATGGACAGGAAGCTGTGTACTCATCCAGCAGCGCTGACAGAACACCTGAACCAATGACAAGGAGGATGACACACCTTCTAATATCACACTCACCTGGATTTCTGACAATATGCACTGAATTAAACTCTGAGCTTTTAGGGGGAAGATCATGACCAGCTCAACAGTGTCCTAAAAACACAAAGTTTAACATTCTGAGACTGTAAAAAAATGTTGAGATAAGGATCTCATAATTTAAGGATGAAGGATAACTGAAATATCATAGCTCGAACATGTTAGCTGGCTGTCTAGCAGTGCAAAGCTGACGCAGTGTGTGGGCAGCACAATTAATCTCAGTTACAATTTTAGAAGATCATAACAAGACTATATTTCAAACTTTTACTCCCATATCAAATCTTCTTAAACCAAATATGGATTTTCATTCTACAAGTGCCGGCAAAGACTGTAGCTGGCAGTAAAAACTCATCAAGTTCATGTCCATCACAGCTCAGTTTGAATAGGTGAAAAAAAGAAACATCCTGACCTTTCTGTGAAGTCTGTGACACCTCGTGTCTGTCTGTCGACAGAAAGAGATGCACGTTATTTTGCAACAGATTTTCAATGAAATCCTCCTCAGTGGAAAAACAGAACCTGCTGACTTCAAGACCTGCAACAGAGCAATAAAAAATATCACAACAGGAAGTCACTGCTTGGATCAGCAAAAAGACAAGTCCAACATCAATCAACGATATCCTGCATCCTGTAGGTTAACGTTAGATTACCATAATGTTTGGTGCTGCTGATAAGGTGAAAGCTTTGCTGCTGCTGCTGGCTGTCGGTGGTGATCAGGACAATGTCAAACAGCAGCGACTCGGCAGAATTTTCCTCCAGCAGACGTTTGTTCACTTTCTGCAGCGCCTAAAGAAAACAACGTGAATATAATTTGAGGTCTGAATTTTTACAGACTTTTTCTGTTCGTCTTTATGTCAAGAAATTCAGTTTCTCAGTCCTGTTTGATGTCCCTACTCTATCAGTCAATCACATCTGAAGAGATTGAAATGTTTCTCAAATATACACAGTTGCTTTAGAAGGTCTTCTTATAATATCACTATTTGCACACTTCATTGTGTTGTAGATTTAATTTTAAATAATATTAAATCAGCCATACTAAAGCCACAACAAGCACATGCAGACTGGAGTTTACGAAACACCATCTAAAGAACTCCTTGATAGGAGAAGACATGGAAAAAGAATCTCTGATCTGATGAAACAAAATTAGAACTTCTTAGAACTCCATCACCTATGAAGTATGGTGGTGGCAGCATAATGCTATGAGGGTGCTTCTCAGCAGCAGGGCAAGGGAAACCTATTAGAATGGATGAAAGGGTGACTGGAGACAAACACAGGGAGGTTCTGGAAGAAAATCTGCTCCAGAAGGCATTGACCCAAGACTGTAGCAACACTTCACCTTTCAACAGGGTAATTAACTGAAGCAAACAGCAAAGACAACACTAATGTATGAGTTAAAATGTGTGTTTAGTTTACTTGGATTGCAGACATTCTGTTGGTTTCTATCACTTCTGGTAATGGACACAGGGGCTGTGGTTTCACATTGTTTACTTGTTCATTTGTGTGTCAGTATTCAGACAGAAGGGTGAGTAGGGCTCAGATATTTTCTGCAGATTACCATGTCGTATATTAATTAATCCAGCTGAACTTTTGCTTACCGGTCTTTTTGTTTAAATTAACAGTTTGAAACACATTTGGCTTTAGCTTCAGTATAAGTCTCCGACTCCCCCTAAATGGTCCAGTCAAAGCCCAGAACTAAATTCCACACATGAAAATGGCAGTTCAGACACTTTTCCTTCATCTAATCTCACAATCCTTGAGAGAATCTGCCAGGAAAAGTTAGATAAACCTACAACATAAAGGGCGGGCAAAGCCTGTAGACTAACCCATTCTCTAGATTAAAAGCTGAAACTGTTGCCAAAGGACCTTCTACAAAGTATTGAATTCATGATGTGAATGCTTTTGCATATGAGAAATTTCTGTTTTTGATTTTATTACATTTTCCAAAAGATTAAAAACATGATTTCACTTTGCCATGGTGGGTTACTGAGGGTAGACTGTTGGGCAAAAATGCAGACTTTATCCATTTTAAATTAAATCTACAACATAATAAAGTGTGCAAAAAGGGAAGGGATCTGAATACTTTCTGAACTGACAGTAGCTTCTTTTTGTAAACAAAAAACTGGCTCATTAATTTCTTAAAACAATTGGCCATTGGGTGTTTTAGCAAAGATGATCAAACAGGAGGAAATTTGTTGGGTAGCATTTTCAGGTGCCAACTAATCCATATTTGATGCTCTAGTGAGTATTTGGGGCAGCACGATGGTGTATGTAGGACTGAGCCAAAATTAAGTACAGTGTGTGTGTGTGTGTTCATTGTAGTGATGGTACACTCAGTAAAGCTATGCCACTGATGTATTTTAATACATTTCAGACAACAATCGAGCTCTGTGGTTATCTGGCTGTGTTAAGATTAAAACTCATCCCAACAAATGGGAGGATTAAGTTGAACCATAAAACCCATCTGGCACAAATTAATACCATTATTCTCACAAACATGCATCCATGTTGGGCGATGATATTTTATTTACACACAGAAAAAAGACAACACTTGTTGACAATTGTTGCATTCTGACCTGCAGCAGTGGAAAAGCCATGCCTTCTGCGTACACACCATCATCACCTCCTGCTCCTTGTTCAAACACTGCGCGAGACGCTACCGCCACAACCACTGCATGCTCAGAATCCTTCTGCAGTGGAAATACATAGCAAGCAAAGAACATCTTTATCTGAACTATTTTTTTAATTCCATCTTTGAATCAGACACGATAGTCCTGAACAAAAATTAGTGGGCTGTTTGGGTTAGAAGTAGTGCTCATTAATCTGAATCTGCAAAGTAACTCCAAACTAAAGTTGTTGGAAAAATAAAATACACAACATTTTGTACTAAATGGAGGTGACCAGAAATATAAACTAGCAGATAATGGAAATACTTAAAGTATAAGTACATCACAATGAGTTAACATTTCCCCAATGGGTACTGTTAGAGAACCAATTTGAATTGAAACTTACACTGTGCTATTACACAGATATATTAACTTCAGTATTCATATGCAGAACTGGAAACAGCATGCCACTGTACATTTTCACACAGTCACGGTGGTATTATTTTGCTTGTTCAGTTTCAGGATCTCAATAATCTTTGCCAACACCGCTCTGATTTTAGCCTCATATGCTCAAGTGTGAATCTCTATAACTAAACTATGCAATTTAAGGATTACCTCGTCAATTGGTGAAGGTATGCCAGAGTTCAGAAATGGCTTAGGCTGTGATTAGAAATTGTGTTTGGTGGTCATCCATTCGGCATAGGCCACACCCATCTTTAAATACAGAGTTGTTGTTTTTTTTTTAACTGAAGTTGTTTCAACTGTGTCCCATCCTAACGGGATGTTTGTAAACCTTAAATGATTAAAATATTGTGTTACACCCACGTCTCGAGTTACCACGTTTATGTGATGTTATTTTGAAAAAGAATGAAGAATGACATTAAAATAGACGGTTGCCTGAAAGCAATCTGATGGAAACCCGCAAAGACAGGGAGACATGTCTAATGTTGGGAGGGTGTGTTTAGCTAAAGGACATGCTTCAGGTGAGTCCTACCTGCTTTACGTCGGTGTTCAGGACCGTGGAGACCATGTCCGCCGCTCAGCTGAAGCTCTGTAAGTTTCAACGTGTGATTATACGGACCAGTCCACCCGAGCTACCACACAATTACTTAACCTAAAGTTCCTCCAGAGAAAGGAGCGCCTATTTTGGTTCCGCCCTGAACCCTGACGTTCGCTTTAAGAGCGCAGCGTGATGGCGTCACTTCCTGGTCAGGCTGCCGCTGGTCCTCCGCCCACAGCACTGATTACTGTGTTGGGTGGAGAAACACGGTCAGTTTGTCCCCTAAAACCCCCACATTTGGATTAACTGTCGGGACAGAGGACAGAGACAGACCCAGGGAGTGTCGCAGAGGAGTCTGGTCCGGTCTGGAGCGGCTCAGGAGCGGATTTCATCCGGTTTCCAACGGGCTCGGACCGCTCAGAAAGAGAGAAGGAGGGGAAAGTTTGCTTCTTCGTCTTTGGTTTCACGGTGAGAAACTTCTCGTCTGTCCCCTCTGTCCTTCCTTCTTCACCTCTGATGTCATCTTTGTACCGGTCCACTGAAGTGTCCAAATGTGTCCAACCTGGACCCCGCGGACCGGCAGGGATCTTGTAGATCCTTGTTGAGGTCCGCAGGTGGGCTGAAGCTGATTGGCTGTCAGCGGTTCAGGTGGGAGGGAATCTCTGAAAGTCTTAAGAAGTATTAGAGCTGTGAGCCGTAGTCAATGAATCTACTAGAAGGTGGACACAATTGAATAATCCCTGTAGTCATTTGCTCAGCAAAACTGCCAAACATTTGCTGTTTCCTCCTCTTCAAGTGTGATGATTTGATGCATCCACTCATCCATTATCTATACACCGCTTAATCCTCACTTGGGTCGCGGGGGGGCTGTAGCCTATCCCAGCTGAATAAGGGCGAAGGCAGGGGACACCCTGGCACCCTGGACAGGTCGCCAGTCTATCACAGGGCTACGCTTACAGACAGACAACCAAGCACACTCACATTCACACTAATGGACAATTTAGAATCACCAATTAACCTCAACATGTTTTTGGAGCGTGTTGGAGGAAGCCGGAGAACCCGGAGAGAACCCACGCTGCATGGGGAGAACATGCAAACTCCACACAGAAAGATCCCGGGTGTCCTAACCAGGATGTGAACTGACAACCTTCTTGCTATGAGGCAACAGTGCTGACACCAAGCCACCTTGCAGCCCTAATTTGATGCACTTCTTTGTTAAACAATAGAATTATGACAGACATGCAAATGTTTACTGAAACTGAATAAAACAATTAGGTAACAGAAAAAATAACCATCAGATTACTCAACAATGAAATTGATTGTTAATTACAGCCCTGAAAACAACAACAACAACAAAAAAACATTTCATTGCATTTTCTCAATAAAAGGATTTCATATATATCATTTTTTGTTTTCTCTAATTATTTGTAGCATTTTCTTTTGTGTGCTGCACACCATAATACAATTTGGTGATCATTTATAAAGAGCTGTGAATAACTGATTTATTCACGGCTGTATGAAACCTTCTATTAATGCTTTATAGATCAGTTATGCACCACTGATGAGAGGAACATCTGAGCTGCCAAGTCGTGGAAAATCCTCCTCTTATCTCTAAATTCATTAGAGATGTCCTAAACCCAGTGTTTGACCACTTTTCTGATGAAAAAAGGCTGTAAAGATTAAATTAGAAATTGGGAAACCTCACACCCTTAATTAAAGTCAAACTAACATTTAGAGCTACAAACCCAAAAACCTAATAGAAAGTGTAAAACCCTAAATATATATTAATGGTTTAGCACACTGTGGTTTTTCACAGTATGGCTACCTGAAAATTCTTATGAAGAGATTATTACTACTCTATAAAGCCTTAGTAACAGATTTGTAGAGATATTGAAGGATTATTCAGTTTTATTTTAAACTAGTGTGTTTTTCCATAAATGTGTGTTGTAGCTCTAAGTGTCACGGTAACTTTGCACTCGCCACCTACAGATGAATACACATTATCTAAATGGTTGTTCTGTTTGGCTTATTTCAGTGCTTGCTTTTGATCAGATTCAAAAACAAATGTTAAACATTAGTCATGTTTTTTTGTTTTTTCTTTAGGAAAGCTTCTGGGAGATTGTGTTGGTCGGCCGACACGTTTTCTGTGTGAGAGGGAGAGTGAGAAATTAGCATGACCTGCTAAGTCACCACAGCCACATTAATGGGAAATTCGCTTGGTTAAAATAAACCATCGTTCTCCTCTAAATGGGTTAATCCATTGATTTTCTGCTGCTTATCCAGGTCAGGTCACAGAAATTAGAAGAACTGAAAAAATGTGAAAAATAATTTCAGGGCTTATACCTCCTAGTTTCCCATGAGTTTGAAAGGTGTGCTTTTTAATTCTACGTTGCGTTACAAAGATCAGTAAAAGACTTAAATTTCACTTGGCAAACTTTACAAAAACTTGGAGGTGAAAAACAGAGATCTAAGGAGACTGTTTACTGAGGTCAGACTGAAATGGTCATTTTGTAAGAGAAGCAGTTGGTTTAAAGTCAGTTTTTGTTCAGTTTTTTAGTCAGCAGGCAGGCAGTCAGCAGTCTATCAGTTTAAAATTGCTCAGTAAATACTCACATGCCCACTAAACAGCCATCAGTCTGGCTTTCTGCCAGTCACTAATCTGTCAGTCAATGTCAGACAATCAGTCTTACAGGACAGCAATCATTAGCAGCAGTCCGACCAGCCAGTGTCTTTATCTGCCTGTCAGTCAGTCAGTCCTACCTGTTCAGGCAGTAACCATCAGAAGCAGTCAGACCAGTCAGACAGCTCACTGATCCTCAGCGTGAACATACCTTCAGCCCTGTACAGGCAGTTCTATACACTGCCGGTATTTCAGGGCAGCACTGTAGCTGTTGCTGAGGATGTTCATGTCCTGAGATCAACCTGTATCGAAGTGAAGGGAAAAAAAAGCTTACTACAGAAACCCAGACATTCTGGCTTTACTTCACCTGTCTGTCAAGGTTTAAAACTATAATTTCCAGCTGTTTTTATCAAGTGTACCACCACAGTCCTATCAATTGAGGACACTTGATCCTACCTCTCTGACTTTACTAACAGTAGGACAGTGGCTGTGATGGCTGCATATATAAGTATTATAAGTGATTTTATGGACCTGTTGTTTTCTTTTTTTTTTACTGGGATTTGTCAACTTTGCATTGTAGTTACTACCACATAGAGTAACAGAAACTGGACATTAAACCATTTACTTGTTCTCAGTTTTCATTCCACCTGCAACACTCGGCCTGAAGAGTTTAGAACGGAGGGAGCTGACGTTTTGTGCCGTTGGCCTGTCAAAGCAAGAAAGTCACTGGTTATGCTGGCAATAAAATCAGAATCTCCTCAGTTTATGCACCAATTTGTGTGTTCATTTCCTGCTTCCGTTTCCACAGACTGTCGCTTATCATTTATCAGTGTATCGGTTTTCCTCATCCTCTCTTCTCACACTCTCTGCAGCTCAGGCGTCGGCCATGTTCAGGTAGAGACACGACTCAGTGGCACCCACCATGCTGAAGCGTCTGGACAGGATCCGATTCCGGGGCCAGAGACGGGATGAGTTCCTGGATTTGGCCGAGTCGCCCAACACGTCCGACACTGAGTGCAGCGAGGAGGTGTTGATGAAACCTCGCTTGTCCATGAGAGAGTCGGAGGAGCTGAGGGAGGTTGAGGAAGAGCAGCAGGGTGACGCTCAGGTGCAGAAACACACACAGGGAAGCTGTATTTTTAGTCATCCTAATTTAACTCAGTCTAGTTTGTTGTTGCTGATTTGATTTACTGTTGTTGTCTTCAAGGCTGGGCCAGGATCCTTTTCTGCAGCTCTCCAAGATGACTCAAGGACAGATTTAAATGAGGTCAAAGGTCACTTAGAAATCGCCTTGTTAGAGAAACACTTCTTACGTGAGTATTCTGTAAATTTTTATCTTCACGTTTCTTAAGTTCAGTGTTCTCTGTGACATTTTTTTGTGAAAAACAACCAATGAGATTCGCTTCAGCTTGGTCATATTGTTACCAACCAAACAGACCCAGAGCCAGATTTCTGATCAGGTATCTCTCCTTTCACCCCAGTGAACCTTGACTTATGATCGCTTTAGTCACCCCGCTTTCACATAAACATTTATAAAAGAAAATAAAAAGTTAAATGTCCCTTTGATCTGTGCAGAAAGTGTTGATTAGACACTGAGGCATCACAGCTCCTTTACACACAAATATATCATCAGAGTGGAACATTCCACAGCACAGTAGCATGCCTAGTAATTCATCAATATTTGTGCTTTTATGTAACACACACAGATCTAATAATAACACTGCTGACCTCGTCTGACATACATGCAGACATTGCAGTAAATAAGACAGTCATGTTTCCCTTTTCGATGAATGTATTGATAGTATTTGTAGGAACCAAATGAAGCCTCGGTATAACACATTTTAGTATTTAGCGCATTTCTGGTGTAGAGTTACCCACAGCATCTAGCTTTTGATTTTTCTTGGGTGAAAAATGCAGGTTATAGTTAATAATTTAAATGGTAAGCAAAATATGACGTATATTTGAAAATATATTTCAAAATGTTTAATTCATTTATGTACGGTACATACAGCTGCTTCAGAAAGTATTCTGTCCCTTTGATATGGTTCTCCAAACTGTGGTCTAATGCATACTGTTTGTTTACAAGATGTGTCAAGGGCTTGATTAAAAAACGGAATTGATTGGACATTGGTTAGAAAGGCACATACCTGTGTGTGTGTGTGTCCGTGTGTGTGTCCGTGTGTGTGTCCGTCTGTCCGTCCGTCCGTCCGTCCGTCCGTCCGTCCGTCCGTCCGTCCGTCCGTCCGTGCAGAGGCACATAACAGACTGCTTTTGGTAAAGAAGATTTCAGAGCATGAAGACATAGATGGTTTGTTCTCTATTCCGATGACATAAAAGCTGAACTCCTTGGACAGAATTCCAAGCATTGCTTATCACCTGCTGACACTATCCCTATCGTGAAGCATGGTGGTGGCAGCATCATGCTGTAGGAGACCTTTTTAGCAGCAGGGACATGAAAACTGGTTAGAACTGAGGGAAGGATGAATGGAGCAAAATACCGAGATCTCTGAAGAAAACCTGCTTCAGAGTGCAGGGACCTGAGGCTGGGGCTACAGTCCACCTTTCGGCCTGACAGTGAACTAAGGCAATCAGCCAAGACGACACTGGAGTGGCTTCATGATAAGTCTCTGACTGTCCATGAGTGACCTAGCCTAAGCCCAGACTTAATCCTCATCTGTGGAGAGACCTGCAGATGGCAGTTCACAGGACAAGGCACCTACAATCTGACAGACTGACACAGAGAGCATGTGTTTACTTTGTAATTGCGGGTTATTAAGTGCAGATTGAGAGGGGAAAAAAAGCCAAATCTACAGCACAATGAAGTGTGAAATGATTGTGCAGGCCTGAGCCCTTTCTGCAGCATCTATATATTGGTGCTGATATACTTTGGAAAAGTGATTCTGCAACACAAAGTGTAGCAGTTGAACTGAGTGAGTTTCTGCTGTCACTCTTCTGGATTAAGAAATTCTGTGCATTTCAACAACGTTCAGACTCCTGTCGCTGCATTGTGCTGAGAACTGATCTAATCAACACCACTGTGTAAACAGATTTTTGTCACACACTCTGGATAAAAAAAAAAAAAATCTCTAATTTTGTCCCTCTTCTGTCAGACCTGCACACTGTTTTTACGTTTTTATGCCACCAAATGATCAGATGTCTGCTAAATGACAGGAGTAATGTGATCACAGGCATAGATATCAGTCTTCTCCATTCTCCAGTAATTGATGAAACCAATGATAAAATCCATCAGTGGTTTGACTGTGAGTAGTGGGGCTAAGTGTGCCTCTTGCTCAAGATGCTCCTATGGTAAAGTCCTTGTTTGTTTTGAAATCTGCAAGGAAGGACGCTGCTGATTCTGAATTTGTGATCTCTGCAGCTATTGCAGGACAGGTTCACATTTTTTTTTGTCTGTTCTTAAACAGTCTTGGAAGAGCTTTTCATTGCTGTCATAGTGACTTCATAAAGAAATCCCTTCATAATGGACACAGTCCACAGCACACAGAGCTATTCTAATTTTGATATACATATTTATCAATTTTTCAACTGTACTAAGTATTAAGTATGGTGGGCTGCAAGGTGGCACAGTTGGTCAGCACTGTTGAATCGCAGGTCGCCGGTTCGCGTCCCGGTGGGGGCACCGGGATCTTTCTGCGTGGAGTTTGCATGTTCTCCCCGTGCAGCGTGGGTTCTCTCCGGGTTCTCTTGCTTCCTCCCACACAGTCCAAAAACATGTTGAGGTTAATTGGTGATTCTAAATTGTCCATTAGTGTGAATGTGAGTGTGCTTGGTTGTCTGTCTCTAAGTGTAGCCCTGCGATAGACTGGTGACCTGTCCAGGGTGTCTCCTGCCTTCACCCTGAGTCAGCTGGGATAGACTCCAGCCCCCCGCGACCCTAGTGAGGATTAAGTGGTGTATAGATAATGGATGGATTAAGTATGGTGCCTTTCAAACATTAAAGTACCAAACTATATATGAGGGAAGGAAACTGGATTCTTATTATGTGGCACATTCATTTGTTACAGAGGAGGAGCTGAGGAAACTTAAAGAGGAGTCCAATGTGGATTCATTGAGACAGGAGCTGGAGAAGGAGCGCTGCAGACGCACCGAGTTGGAGCAGAAGATGAATGATGCACTGAGATCCAGGTGGGTTATTTACTGTATGTAAAAAATACACAAACAGTCCGTTATGTCACCCGTAGTTTTACTGAGGAGCTGTGCGGTGGCTCTGACTGTCTCTGCAGTGTCTGACTCCTCCTATCACCTGTCCAATCCAAAATGTGCACAGAGGTGGAGTGTGAGTAAAACTGAGGTGGTTCATACAAACATCTCTGGGTCTTGGACTGTCCTGTAACAGCATGCACCTGTCACTCAAACCCATGGCCTTAATTATGAACAACTTTAAGTTATAATACAATTGAAATAGGTGAGTGATATTATATTCATCATGTCATGAACAGGGAAAGTAGCTATAGAGACCAAAATAGTTTTTTGTACCAGGCTGTAAACATGTTTACTTCTGCTTTAAGTTGAGCATTTTAACAGGTGGGGGTCTAAGAGGATTGGCTTTCTGAGACAGCCTGAAATGGACATTTGAGAAACTAGAGTTTTTGGCACTTCTTTGTTGGCTTCATTTCTTAGCCTCAGAGTTTGTTGCTTTGGTGGGTTAATTAAAGAACCTTATATTCAATTAGCTGGTCTGTCTGAGCCAGACTGAAGAATGAAGGATGATGGAGTGCAGACAGGTCAGCTTGTTCCAGTGAGTAACTGAAATCCTTTCTGTCTGTTAACAGACTTGAAGACTCACCTTCTCAGACACCTAAAGTGCAGCCCCCTCCTCCACCTGCAGGCGGCAGCACTGGTGAGCTATGCCCTCCAACTCTGATGTTGTTCACCTCTGCTGTTGTCCAGAAGAATTGTTTGAAGTGGGAAAAGCGAATTTATTGAACTGTCTGCATTTTCGTCTTTTTCTCTCCTCAGACAAACAGAAGGACACTCTGTCCAACAGCTTCCTGAAATGGCTTTACGATCGATTTGGTGTTTATATCGAAGATTTCCGCTTTCAACCGGAGGAGACGACGGTGGAGACGGAGGAGCCGCTAAGTGCCAAGAGGTGAGGAGGAATCCAGAAACTGTCAGTGCTGAGACTATTCAGCCCACAGCAGAACTGTAACGTTAAGGAGCTTCATTAAATGAGCGATTCATTAAAAGCTGAGCCAGCAGACATGTTTACTATCACGCTGACTGAAAGTAACTAAATAATTAACACTAAATCACCACTTTGTTCATCACTTTATGACATTGTTCTTCTGTGGAATTTTAGAGACCATCATAGATTTACGTACTTAGTCACATTTAGAGGTATACAGTAAATAAATGTTGTAAAAATGGACGGATTTTAGATATACTTGGAAATCTAAATTATTATCTGGTTTCTGATCCACAGACTGACTGAAAACATGAGACGACTCAGTGAGTATTTTTTTTTTTAAGCAAATCTCATGTGTAATATTATCTGGAGGCAGTGAGATGTACAGGATGGTATCACTGGCGCTACTCTGATTACAGATTACGTGTTTGTTTACACAACACAGCAGCATCCAAAAATATAGAAAGAAAGTACAAGAAAACAACATAATTAAGTAATATGCATCCCCAGTGTCTGCATGCAGCAGGTCCAAGGCCCCACCGTCTCCGGTTGGGCAGTCCACATACTGGCTGAATGTGGGGAGAGTGGTAGAGAGCAATGTATGATTAAAGTCTCCTGAGATGACGATCAGAGACTGAGGGTGTGATGTTTGCAGCTGGGACACTGAGCTATGGATGGGTTCACAGGCCACAGAAGCATCAGCCGTTGGGGGGGATGTAAACTGCAATTGCCAGGACGTGTGAAAATTCCCCCGGCAGGTAAAACGGCCACAAACCAACCGCCAGCAGTTCAACATCCTTCGTGTAGCGTCGCTCTTTAACGCTAACGTGCCCAGCATTACACCATCTCTCATTCACATACATGGCGAGTCCCCAGCCTTTCTTCTTACCACTCTCCCTCCAGCTCTGGTCCACTCTGACCAGGTGAAATCCGTCCAAAGTTACGAGCGAGTCCAGAGTGAGTTCACTCAGCCGTGACTCCGTGAACAAGGCTGCACTCCTGATACTCCCACTGCAGCCGGGTTAGCGCTCTTAGCGGTTAGCTGTTAGCTCTTCCAACCCATTTGGGAGAGACCTCACGTTTCCCATGATGATGGATGGACGGCTTGTAGCATCTCCTCTTCTCCTGACGCTTCACTCCTGCCCTACATCCCTTCTTCCTCCTGCGGAGCTCATCAGGGATGTCTGATCTCTCCCACAACGGTGGCTTGGCCTGACTCAACGCCAACAGCTGTTCATGAGTGTAAAACAATGGAGCCATGGCTCAATGGCTCGCCAGACGATGACCCCAAAAACTCGCAAAAAAAAAAAGAAGCAAAGAACAGACCAACAAAACCGCCATCTGCATCTCCGCTGTTCCCGTGCAAATACAGTACAGCTGCATGAAATAAAAATATTAAAAAGATAAATGAAAACCAAAGTAGCTAGCTAAAAATATAGAAAGTAGGTAGGAGCCGCTGTAACTGGCTGCCACTCTCACTGCACCATAGCAACTTAGCAAGAACATAGCAAGAATGAACTCCATGTACATGTTAAATCATATTACTAGAATTTCTGAGTATCTGGAGCTTCTGATACTCTTAGGTATTATTAGTTTGGGTTTAGGAAAGGAAGCATGTTTGCTTCCTTCCCATGCAACTTCTTTATAAGTATTCTTTAATGTGGTGGGAGTATCACATCAGAGATCCTAATTCTAGCTCCAATACAGCAGATAGACCAAACCGTGCAAAACAAACCTGGACCAACTGCACAGGGCTTTCTGAATACTTTTGGTCAATTTGTTTACCCACAAAAAACATGTTAGTTGACTTATTTAACATTTAACCTTAAAACATACAAAAGGGAGATTGGACAGAGCTGATGTTTTTTCTGTCATGATTCATTCTCAATCTGTGATTGATCAGTCAGTCTGCTATTGTTTTCCCAGAACGAGGGTTCAGACCTGTGACCAACTTCATGAGGAACCTCTCTGCCTTATCCAGCTGGTACTCCGTCTACACGTCGGCCATCGCCTTCATTGTGAGTGCACACAGGGACACACACATTCAGACATCAGGGTTCTTCTCAAGATCAATCTTAAAGCACTCACCAGTAATGATGTGTAAATGTTGTCTACAGGTGTACATGTATGCCGCGTGGCACGGCTGGGCCATACCCATGTTCCTGTTCCTCGCCATCCTCCGGCTCTCCTTGAATTACCTCATTGCCAGGTCAGTGCAAGTTCTGCCCACTTCCCTGTCAACCAGTCACACAGCCACAATAAGACCCAGACTAAAGACAGACGTGTCATGGTTCTGTCTGACTTTAAGTCAGGTCCACATTCAGTGTGGATTCTTTGTTTAGTTTAAAGAATTCAAAACCCACATCAGCTTTTTTGTCTCTGTTTGAACTCAGGTGGATGAAAATTGGGGGACAAAACATTCTTTGTACTACCACTCTACTTAACTTGAAATGGATGATGGCTTATATTATCAGCAGAGTCTCCAAATAAATCAATATAATAGGCACTTTAAAATATAATGTTATATTCATATGATTATAGAATATACAATTTAATAATTTCTGATATTTCACTACAAGGCCTCTCACTCTTAGGGTGCCATCAAGCATTTTTTCAAGTTTAGACACAGAAAGGATATTTGACAAGATTAATATTGCTCTTGGCTTATCCATTTTGGCTTTTTTGACTTTTCAATGAAATACAGTTAGAAAATGCAGAGAGACAGGGAATGTTGCATGTATATGGTATGAATTCTATGGGTTACAGCCACTGGATGATGAACCTGTGGGACCTTGTGCTTTGAAAGTTTGGGGTACTTGAAGCCCAATATACCTCAGTGCACTATCTAAAAGGAACTTTAAAGCGTTTTATATGCCATCAAAATCACTGGATGTCACTAGAGCACAGCATGTAAGACCAAAACGGGAAGCATATTGACCACACTTCACCGTTACCTTTGCATTTCATTTACAACCAGAGGGATTATGTACACAACAACTTAAAAAACAAACAAACAAAAAAAAAAAACACCCAGCCAAAACCACTGGCTCATTAGTAACATTTTATTCACTTCACCTGCTTCTCCTTTGCACTGCTCTGCTCCATGCGTGTCCTTTTCACACAGACAACAGAGGATACACACAGGACTGAGAGCAGACGAGAGTGGAGAAGAGCAGCAGAACAGCGTCTCAAAAACAAAAAAAGCTAGCTTCTTGAGTCCATGTGTTGGCAGGTCACAGCTGTTTTAGCGGCTTTCAAAGAATCAACAGCATATTTGGTGGGGTTGGTCATAATACACTGCTCAAAAAAATAAAGGGAACACTAAAATAACGCATCCAAGATCTCAATTAATGAAATATTCCAGTTAAAAAGCTTTATTCATTACATAGTGGAATGCGTTGAAAGCAAAATAACATAAAAAGGATCAATGTAAATCAAAATTATCCCACAGAGGTCTGAATTTGGAATCATACTCAAAATAAAAGTGGAAATTCACATTTTAGGCTGATCCAGCTTGAGTGGAAATTCCTCAAGACAAGTCAGAATGAGGCTCAGTAGTGTGTGTGGCCTCCACGTGCCTGTAGGACCTCCCTACAATGCCTGGGCATGCTCCTGATGGGGCAGGATGTTCTCCTGAGGGATCTCCTCCCAGACCTGGATTAAAGCATCAATCAACTCCTGTACAGTCTGTGGTGCAGCGTGCCGTTGGTGGATGGAACGAGACATGATGTCCCAGATGTGCTCAATTGGATTCAGGTCTGGGCAACGGGCAGGCCAGTCCATACCATTAATGCCTTCATTATGCAGGAACTACTGACACACTTAAGCCACATGAGGTCTAGCATTGTCATGCATCAGAAGGAACCCAGGGCCCACTGCACCAGCATCTGGTCTCACAATGGGTCTAAGGATCTCATCCTGGTACCTCTGGCTAGCACATGGAGGGCTATGCGGTCCTCCAAAGAAATGCCTCCCCACACCAATACTGACCCACCACCAAACCGGTCATACTGGAGGATGCTGCATTCAGCAGAACAATCTCCACGGTGTCTCCAGACTCTGTCACGTCTGTCACATGTGCTCAGTGTGAAACTGCTCTCATCCGTGAAGAGCACAGGGCGCCAATGGAGAATCTGCCAATCTTGGTGTTCTCTGGCAAATGCCAATCACGCTGCACGGTGCTGGGCTGTAAGCACAAGCCCCACTGGTGGACGTCGGGCCCTCATACCACCCTCATGGAGTCTGTTTCTGACAGTTTGAGCAGAAACATGCATATTAGTGGCCTGCTGGAGGTCATTCTGCAGGGCTCTGGCAGTGCTCCTCCTGGTCCTCCTGCACAAAGGAGGAAGTAGCGTCTTGCTGCTGGGTTGTTGCCCTCCTATGGCCCCCTCCACGTCTCCTGGTGTAATGGCCTGTCTCCTGGTATCTCCTTCATGCTCTGGACACTGTGCTGAGAGACACAGCAAACCTTCTTGCCACAGCTCGTGTTGATGTGCCATCCTGGATGAGCTGCACTACCTGAGCAACTTGTGTGGGTTGTAGACGCCGCCTCATGCTACCTCTAGGGCTAAGAGTACTGACAAAATGCAAAAGTGACCAAAATATCGGCCAGAAAGGATGAGAACAGAGACGTGGTCTGTGGTCACCACCTGCAGAACCACTCCTTTATAGGGCTTGTCTTGCTAACTGCCTCTCATCTCCACCTTGTCTGCTCCATTTGCACAACAGCAGGTGAAATTGATTCACAATCAGTGTTGCTTCCTAACTGGACAGGTTGATTTCACAGAGGTGTGATTGACTTGGTGTTACATTGTGTTGTTTAGGTGTTCCCTTTGTTTTTTTGAGCAGTGTATTTTGGTTCAGTGTAGATATGTAGTGAGTGTGAAATAATCTCATATGTATGCTCTCATGATACGCTAGGGGCTGGAGGATCCAGTGGAGCATCGTGCCCGAAGTCTCGGAGCCAGTGGTGAGAAATCTCTTTACTCCTGCGGTCTCTTTATCCTCAGTCCAGTGACTGCTTTGTCTTGTAAGTTTAGACTGTCCATTGTCTCGCAAATGGACAGTCAAACAGCTCCATCTGCTGGACAGGTAATTGCGTGTACAGTAAAATAGAGGAATTATGCTTGATCATTAATTGCAAGTGTTTCCTATAATATCAGGTGTGAAGGTAGCAAGTGTTACTGTCAGTCTTTCATATATTTACAACTCTGTTTTGTTTATCAGGAGCCTCCGAAAGAAGACCTGACGGTGTCTGAGAAGTTCCAGCTGGTTCTGGATGTCGCTCAGAAAGCTCAGGTGAGACATGACGGACAGTCAGAGGCTTTAAGTCACAGCTGATGTCTTCCATCACATTTTTCACACATTCATTGTTTTTGTTTATTACATTCCTCCAGAATCTGTTTGGGAGGATGGCCAACATTCTGGAGAAAATAAAGAAGTGAGTTTATCTCGACACACTTCTTTCCAATTTAAACTGATCAGAACTCATGGTCTTTGCACTGAGTTGCCTAATTCACTGTGTGTTTGTATGTGTGTGTGTGTGTGTGTGTTTATGTATGTAGTCTGTTCATGTGGGTTCAGCCAGAGTTGACACAGAAGCTGTACGTTGGTCTGTGGGTGGCCTTCATCTCCTCGTGCCTGCTGCCGTTCAAACTGCTGGGATTCATCATAGGTACATCAAATATACAATGAAAACTTTTATAATTTTTTTTAGTTTTTATTCAAGTGAAATCAGTGTCCACCTCCGGTCTAAAGTTTCATTCAAACTACAAGCAGGCATCTACAACTAAATAAAGTGCATTTGATGGTGGAAATGGAGCAGGGAGCTCCATAACAAGATCTAAACAGAAGCAGTCAGCCAAAGCTTCCAACAGCCTTTTTAGAGCTAAAACACACCACACAATCACACAGACAGAAGATTCTACATAAACATGAACTCCAAAGATTTGATCCCTACACACTTTGTATATCGGTATGGGATCAAAAAAGTTACGAAAAATCATATCTTACTTAAATGAAATAATAGCTGAAAACAGGGCTGCAGCTAATTGAAGTTATTGTCATTGTTGATTAATTTTGGTCTGTATCTTTTTTTTTTTTACATTTTGTCCAATCAGAACCATTAAATCTATGCTGAATGAACTTTTAGCAGCTCCTGACAACCATCACTGGATCACTTTGACATTGCAGAAAATTAAAAACCTGGAAATTCTGAGCAGGTTCTGAAGTTGTTTTTTTTTTTTTAAATTCCTAAGTGGATTTACAAAGACACTTAATGATGAACATAATGCTATTTCTTCTTTTGATCTTAGTTCATTCCATGACAGCCAAATTGCAGGGACTTGCAAGATTAATGCTACATGAAGTGACTTTTGACCATTTCTGTGGGAAGAAAACTCCAAAATAAGATGAAGCTTTGACTTATCATCTTGTTGCTCACGTTAGCAGATTTACACGTGCAAACTGAGCATCTCACTTGAGTCATGTTTGTGTCCAATAACTCAGACTGTGGATGAATGTTACTGAGTGCACATTAAGTGCTACTGGGTACATCTGATTTGAGTCTTCCTCCTCTTTAGGTGTGTATGCAGGTATCAAATTTTTCATCATCGACTTCATCTTTAAGAGTTGTCCCAAGCTGAGGCAGCGCTATGACACCCCCTACATCATCTGGACCAACTTACCCACCGACCTGCAGCTGAAGGAGCGCAGTAGCACCATGCTGAGCAGACGGGTCAGTCCAAACTCTGAGACACATCCACACACAGAGATCACAGAGCGTCAGTCTGAAGTCAGTCGGTGAATGCTTCGATTCTTCTGCGAGCTATGTGACAGGAGGAATCCCCTCAGTGCAGAAATTGTGCGCTCGTGTCTTTGCCAGCACATAAAACCAGCACAGACTGGATCAGTGTGTTGCTGGTTCTTACTGGTCCCAGTTGTTTGGTTTCAGTTGTCTGAGTTGATGTTGGTGTTTTTCTCTCTCAGCTGTCTGAGTGTGAACAGGTAGGATTCTGCTGTGTGTGTTTATTTTATTTTATTCTTTTACAGTCCCAGTGTGGAGGTCAGTAGTGTGTGATGTTGTTCCAGATGTCATCAGCTTTGACTGACATCCCTGAATGTGACCAATCAGCTGCTGTTTTTCTTCTGACAGAATCAGTAGTGATAGTCTCTCTGTCAGCTGAAACTCTGTTCTAGAGGAGACGTCCCCACACCTCCTAGTCACACTGTCAGTGAAAGTGTCCTGACCTCAACCCTGCTTCTATTTAGATTTACATGACCCTATGACCTTTCCTCGTGCTCCACCCTCAGCTCAAACGTAGGTCAGATTTCTCCTGAATTTGTAGGTTTTGCTCAGATTTTTGATTTGTACATGAATGTTGTGATGTACCTATGGCAAGACCTGAGGGCTGTACTACGAAGCAACATTAGTGGGTTAGCAGGTATGTTGAGCCTAAAGTCAGAGTTTTCAGTGTCACGAAGGTAGCTCTCTTTTTACCTGGCTGATCATCATGGTAACTGGTGCTGTGGAGCTAACCTGTTCGAGGGCAGGTTATGTTCAGAATTTCAGTACGTTACTAACATCACTGAATGAAGCTGTGTAGTTACAATATCACACACTGTAAATATTACGTCGCCATGGGAACCCGATGTGTATGTAGTTGGAAATCCCATAAAAATGTTTTTATGTTTGGTCTGTTTACCCTGAGGGTTACTGCAGCTCATGGAGCACAAATTAGAAGCAGATTATTCTATTAGTATTTAAGACAGAGAATATTCAATCAATACCTAAACTTAATTTTGTTTTGATTTGGCCAAAAATTAAAGTAATATCCTGCATTATGGGATAGTGTCAGACCTAAGTGCACTAAATTACAACATCATGTTTAAATATCTGAAATTTAAAGTCTAGCAGATTTAATACGCAGCTGTCAGTTAGAAGTAAGTGGCTGCATCGATCAGCAAAATAACTATATTACACACGTTTAACAGTTTTCTACCAGCATTCCTGTCTAGCATCATTTGCAGTAGCAGAGCTTTTTACCGTCATGCATTTTTGCATTCCTCATTGTTCTCCATTCTAAGAACCTGTTGACTGAAGCAGCTGCACACGATCGTTTCATTTTGCGCAGAAGAAGAGTCAAATTATGCGTTAAACACCTCCTTTTATGTGAACGTGCACAGAGTCTGAAGCAGAAAGCCTGAGTTGACAAAGAAAGTTGAACCACCTTCTTGATACCTGTTGTCTCTGATGGGAGCTTTAGCTTTTGTTGATGTCAAACTTGCTTCATAGTACAGCCCTCAGATGCCTAAGTTCAGGTAAGATTGGATTCGGTGAATAAAGTTTTGTCATCTTCTTGTTTCCACTGAACGTTTATGATAGCCCGATAGTGTTTAGGACTGATAACAGCTGTATATTGATATTTACAGTTTGTGTTAGTGTTAACCTTAATCAGATAACGTGTTTTTCTCACACGATCCCTAACACGTGTAAATAGTTTTGATAAGACATGCACTGAGCTGTACAGTTAATACTTGAAAAAGAAATCTTGTCACTACTATCTGGTGGATAAAATGTTGGTGTCATTAGAATAGTAACATATCCGGTGACATATCTGAAATCTGGCAATTTTGCTCTTCAAGTCCTTTTCATTTGTTGGCCCACACTGTACACTGTTCCTGATAACTTGGATTAACCGACAGGCCATAGTATTATCTGGATTTTCATTTCGTGGCGGTTGGGTCTTATTGTAAATTTGTGGATCCTCGCTTCATGCTGCACTACGTGAATTCTTCAAAAGAAAAGCCAAGCATATTTTCGTAGAAGTTTTTGTCCTAAAACGCGTATTCACAAATATATGAGTAAAATGTCAACAAAACAATTAAAGCTAGAGCCAGCCACAATTCATTTACCATGCTGTCTTAACAGTATTATTATAAGGATTATCCATCCTTTATTTATTTATTTATTTTGAGGTGGTGCACCCTCAAGCCTTTGCTCCAATTCGCATTTTAATTACCCCCATGAAATTTCCACCTCATGGCAAGAACTTTTTTAAACCTACATTTTTCAGCTCAGTATCCATCCATCCATTATCTATACACCGCTTAATCCTCACTAGGGTCGCGGGGGGGCTGGAGTCTATCCCAGCTGACTTAGGGCGAAGGCAGGGGACACCCTGGACAGGTCGCCAGTCTATCACAGGGCTACACTTAGAGACAGACAACCAAGCACACTCACATTCACACTAATGGACAATTTAGAATCACCAATTAACCTCAACATGTTTTTGGACTGCTACAAGGTGACGCAGTTGGTAGCACTGTTGCCTCGCAGCAAGAAGGTTGCCGGTTCGTGTCCCAGTGGGGACACTGGAATCTTTCTGCGTGGAGTTTGCATGTTCTCCCCGTGCAGCGTGGGTTCTCTCCGGGTTCTCCTGCTTCCTCCCACACAGTCCAAAAACATGCTGGGGTTAATTGGTGATTCTAAATTGTCCGTAGGTGTGAGTGTGCTTGGCTGTCTGTCTCTAAGTGTAGCCCTGTGATAGACTGGCGACCTGTCCAGGGTGTCCCCTGCCTTCGCCCTAAGTCAGCTGGGATAGACTCCAGCCCCCTGCAACCCTAGTGAGGATTAAGCAGTGTATAGATAGTGGATGGATGGATGGATGTTTTTGGACTGTGGTAGGAAGCCGGAGAACCTGGAGAGAACCCACGCTGCACGGGGAGAACATGCAAACTCCATGCAAAAAGATCCCAGGTGTCCTAACTGGGACGCGAACCAGGGATCTTCTAGCTGTGAGGTGACGGTGCTAACCACCGAGCCACCTTGCAACCCTCAAAAGTTATTTTGTTTTTGTTATTTTTTGGATCAGATTTTACTGCAATTTTGGGGCTTTTTTAAAAATTTATTTATTTATTTTTCAATACGTGCTGGTTCTTTCCTCCAGCACCCCTAGGTTCAGGACAAAGGTTGTTTATTCATTGTGTATCTGTAATGATCATTGCAGAGACAATATGAACACAGTAACAACATGAAAACATAAGTTATCATGAATACTGTGACCCGGTTTGTCAAACAGCTGTGAACACACCTGGACAGGTGAGTTGTCGAGCTGCCCAACTGTTCGTGTAGCTGACTGCAGCGATGTTCAGGATGCTACCACAGCAGCGCCTCTCCTCCTGCCAATGTGCTAATCTGTTCTCTACCTCGTCCCTCCTTTTTCCACGTTTTCAGGTTCCCACAGCAGGGGGTCGAGGCAGCGTTACTGCAGCAGCTCCTCTGGGCGTCAGCCGGGACGAGGATGGAGGACGATATTACAGCACCAAGAGAGGAGCTTTTCATGAGGTGTTCAACCTGCCGGAGAGTGAGCGTCCTCTGACAGGTGGGTGCTTGGACTTAAATGGTTCAGATTTTTATCCCATTATCTTTTTCTGTGTGATCTTAGAGTCCTTTAAATGCAGTTTGATACATACGCGTCTTTTACTCGGATTGGGCTCTTTTTAGCCGGTCTACCAGGGAGACCTGATTGATGGAGTCCTGTTGAGCCAGTTGTGCTTCAGGCTGGTTCTCCATCTCTGCTACCTCCTGAAGCTCTGTTAGAGAGACAGTTGGGTTGTTGCCCTTCATGAGGCCAGTGTTGTTCTGGAAACACTCAAAGCTTCAAAATTGGTTATGCCGTTGTCTCGATGAATGCCAATTTTTTCTGCAGGTCTTTAGAGACGTTGGAAGTAATGGCTTGAGTAAGACATGTGGGTCATTTTTTGGCTGTAGAGATAGGCATGAAAAGAGGGAAAAGAGAGCAGGGGAATGACATACAACATGGTAACGATACATACATTTGAATTAAATCTACAACAATATAAAGAGGGCAAAAATTGAAGGGGTCTGAATCCTTTCTGATGTGGTCTTTGTTTTATTTTTAAAAAATTAAGATAGTTTTTCCACAATGTCAGTAACCCTTCATGCTTCATAGTGGAGCTCCTGTCTGTTTAAACCTGTCTGGTAAAATCAGGTTCCTGTTAAACATGGAACCTCTGTGGCATCTTGATGTTTTAACCTGGTCCTGCCAGTTACAGTCAGTGTTGTAGCTAAGTGCCATATTTATTCAGTCAACATGCCATCAGAAGATTTATCTTCAGTATAAAGGTCTAAATGCTTTATTGAGGTATTCACATTGTCAGGAATTTAACTCTAAATGCGTGGAGTCTTTTAATAACTGCATCGTTTCAGTGTGTGAGAACGGCTGGCGCTGCTGCCTCATCAACAGAGACAGGAGGACACCGACAGACTACATCCGCAACGGAGTCCTCTACGTCACCGAGAAGTGAGTCCTTCACATGCCAGCCATGTTTCTATAATGTAGTTTTATCTGCATTTTAAAGTATCAATTTAGAAAAAAATAATGGCAACAACTACATTAAAAAAAAAACTCTGCAATTATAAGTTCTGATGTAACGAGCTTTCAACTCACATCACTGATCAGTTGTTTCAGCTTTTTTTGTTGTTTTCGCCTGCAGACACCAAAGCCTCTTTCAGACTTGCACTCCATTTTGTTAATCTGATGGCAATTTAACGTGTCGGCGTCATGTCTATGCCCACTGCAGTCACGTTTCTGTAAAAGTCGCACTTTAATCTTACTAGGCTGGACTTAGTGACATTTGTGTGGCCATATTAACACAGGACAAGTCTGAAATCATTGCATAAACTGAAACACACGCACAGTACTTGGAGTTGTGTGAAGTGATTTAGGGAAGAACTTTCCTACATTTCAGCACCACTATTCATCCAGAAACATCACAGAGATGTTTAATAGAAGGGCTGATTAGAATCTAACAACAGGTCACACTGTGAACTTTACCTCACCTCAGACAAGTGAGCTGTCACACAGAGTCGCAGTTTTACTGTTTAAGACATCAGAAATAAACTGGGCTGTTAGTCATCTGGACTCTTTGATCAGCTGCTATTACTTTAGATTTGTTCCGTTACTGCATTAGTATGCATTATACATCAGTTTGTCTAGTCTTGTGTGAATTGAAATATTGCGTGCATACCACGGCTTTCTGCGGCGCTGGAGGAGGTATGTCTGAACGCAGCCATGAGGAACATTAACAGAAAAGTGACCAGTGTCTGAGTGACTAGAATGCCAACATTTTAACACATTGATGAAGCCAGCAGTGTTCCATGATTGCATGTCTGAAAGGGGCTCAAGAAACACTTACTTTTTGTCTTCACTTTAAGTACGTACTGCAGCTATCCTTACAAAGCACACAGTGTTTCATGCGATTTCACCCGCTCAAGCTTATTTGTACTTCTGCGAGATACTGTGATGCAAGATGTATCTGTGCAGAGGATTGATGGTCAGAATGCCCTGAAAAGCATGATGGCTGGCATACTGCAGCAGTTTGAGTCTTCGAATCTGAGCATCCAGCAGCCGCAGCCGCAGCCGCAGCAAGTGTCCTGAGGTTACGATGACTGCCATCAGGTCTCTATTTTCCTCTGTGATTCTGTTTATGATTGGAGGTAATGGAGTCTCCTCTGTCTCCTCAGTTACCTGTGTTTTGAGAGCTCCAGCTCCAGGTCAGGATCCTCAAAGAGGAACAAAGTCATCAAACTGCTCGACATCACCGACATCCAGAAGGTATGTGTCTGCTGCAGGAAGATGTCATGGACCAAAAGCTATATGACATTGTTTTATAACATTATATCTTCCATTTGTTTGCTTCTGCTGTTGATAATCATTAGGTAACTTGTCATCTAGTCTGTGTCCTGCTAACTTCTGTATGTAATCTGTCACTGACCATATTTGCTTGGACTTGGAAAAGGTAAAGCATGCTCCTGGCATTTATGTTCCATATTCTGAGACAATGCAGCTCCACTACAGCAGTTACTGGTATTATAGCCAGTCCACAGCTCAGCAGCACAGGCCCTGATACCATCATCATTACTTTTTGTGTTCAGGGCCGCAGCTTCTTCTACGGCTGCATGTTAAGAGCCGTTTTTTCAAGACAGCGCCACCTACCACCACTCTCATGGCCGCAGTGTCTTCTACGGCCACACCTTGAGAGCCTTTTTTTTCAAGACAGCGCCACCCACCACAATGAATGATCGACAAAATGCGCGATTTAGTTCTAAAGGGTGAATTCTCTCAAAATATATTTATAATTTAAAACATTGATACAAAGACAATTCCACACAAAGTACTACTTCATGTCCAAGTACCTTGAATTTTAAAGTTTTTTTAAATTAGTAAATAGTTATAAAAAGGTTTTAGCGCATTGTGTGAATGTAGATAGGACATCCGTTACCCTGACCTTTGATGGTCAACCGACCACAGCAGTAGACCTGCTCAGCCTCCTGGAAGGACACATCTTCCTGGACAGACAGGCCATATATGATGGCCTACCAAAAGAAAATGGTTAATGTTTAAACAATATCATTTAAATAAACCATTTTACAGCAGAGCAGCCATGTTAGACAGGTATAGCACAAGTAGCACCGTGAAAGGCATGCTATTTGTTTTGCTTTAAAACATTGTTTTTCTCACAGTTCAGCAAGTTACCAACAGCTCTGCTGTGCAGATGAAGACAGCAGAAATGTTCATAACATTAAATGATATAAACAAATGTTCATTTGTTTTATGACGTTAAACTACGAAAACGATTCACAATCAGTACTCACGTCGAGACTGCCCTCCATCACAGCATCAAATGCTGCTGCTTTCTTTAGCATCCAAATCGGCAGGTGACACAAACACCAGTGACCTGTCAGTGGGTCCTGAGAGCTCTGAACACACTCAGACTACTGCATCTGGGCTACAGACCACAGAGGCCACAGCAGCAGAGTCCATTATTACTTAACCTGTTAATAAATGTGTTAGTTACAACATTTGCCCAAATGCAAGTCTCAGCAACCAAGTTATTATTGTAATAAGTAGTATTTTGGCTGGAATAAAGCTTTCAAACCTCAGCCTGTTTGTTAAAAAGAAATATTTGGATGAAAAAAAAACTTTAAAATTCAAGGTACTTGGACATGAAGTAGTACTTTGTGTGGAATCGTCCTTGGATCAATGTTTTAAATTATAAATATATTTTGAGAGAAATCACCCTTTAGAACTAAATCGCCCATTTTGTCGATCATTCATTGTGGTGGGTGGCGCTGTCTTGGAAAAAAAACATCTCAACATGCGGCCGTAGAAGATGCTGCGGCCCTGAGAGTGCTGCCTCGGGCTCTGCAGACACATATGCAGAGCAGTAGCAGCCACAATGGACAATCCTGTGAGCCTGAGCTCAGGACACAGAGACCCTGATTTTCAGTTACTCTTCAGTTTCAGATTCTCTCACGGCAGAAGTGTAGCAAAAGTCATGCGTAAAAAGACAGCCAATGGTGAAGCTGTTAAACTCAAATACGTAGACTTTTCAACTACGAATACCTCTGTATGTATTGACAACTCTTTGCACGCATTGACAACTCTTATTACATGTCTGAATTTCAATACAGATGAGCAGATTTTTTACACATTTGAATACCTGACTACAGACAGACAAATTCTGAGACAACTTTTGCAGATTCCGATTCGCATTGACAACTTCTTTTACACATTGACAAATCTCACTTCGGACGAATGGATTGAGATACAGACTGACAACTTTCCATATGCATGGACAAATAGTTTTGCAACAATAATGCCCCCATACAGGACCTAATGCTGAGAAAGTGTCTGTTCCAGCTGGTTGGAGTTTTAGTTGTTAGCATAGCTAAAAATGTTGCATTCTGAGTAAGGCTTCTTCTGGAGCAGACCCTGGATTGTGGTTACACTTCAGCTATAGTTTTTGTTTTGTTTTGTTTTGTTTTAGTCATTCATAAACTTCTGTAACAGTTAGTGATGCTGATTTCTTCAAATAAAGTCAGTCTGAGCTTTAACATTGTCCTCACTGTCCCTCACAGTACAAAGTTTTGTCAGTGCTGCCAGGATCTGGGATGGGTATCTCCATAGCAACACCGTCAACCCAAAAGGTAGGAGCCTTAGTGACCCAGTGGAAACTGTAGAGTCTTTCCTTTGCAATGCAACTAGTAACGACAGTGGGTTCCGTACCCAGTACCACATGAAAAATCTGTCATATTTCCATGTAAACCTGGAAATACCCACAAAATTTAAGGGTTTCAAAACATTTAAAAACACAAGTTCTGACATGTAAAATAAATAAGTATTTCAGAGAAAATCAAACTGAAGCAGAATGGTGGCAGTGACCTCGTTAACTTCTTTGTAGAATACACAGAAAAAGCTAATCACAGCATCAAAAGATCAACTCTTCAGTGGACTTGGACAGAGCAGCATTTCACCGTAGATGACAGAAAAAGTCATGTGTCAGTGCAGATTCATGGCAGTGTTATTAGAAGGCTGTAGTAAGGAGACGTCAGAGAATGATACAGCAGTGGAGGAAACTCCCAGTGAAACATGTTGGTGGGTACAAACTGAATACTAATACGTTCTGAAATCTGTTAATCTGTAAATTAGATCTAGGGGAGTAAAAGAAAGTACAGTAGTTGTTTTAAGCTGCACAAAAGAAACACCAAAGAGCATCTTCATAAAATTGTTCTGAAGTGCTACTTACTTGAGCTCTATTTGGGTAAAGTTTGCCTGCGTTGACAAAAGCTCCCTCTTTGTTGATGTTGGATCTGATGTTCTTCTCTTCCATCTGCTCTGGTACAGCCGATGGTATTTGGTGCGATGATGCACAGAGACGAGGCCTTTGACGCCATCTTCACTCAGTACATGAAGATTGTTACCATGGCTACAGCCACCAACCCAGAGACATAGTAACAGCTTCAGCAGGCGGCAGCCTTAACACAAACACCAGAACTGCTACACTTCATTCACCGATGACATCTTCAAAAGGCGACTGACTTCAGTATGAGCTGCTGGTATCCTGATAGTAAATCAGCTGATTCCGTCCAATCACTGATGTCATGTCAGAGTCAGCCAATCCAAAACCGATCACTGTTCCTGAACTTTTTTACAGAAAACTGGACATTATGCCCGAGTATTAGTTCACATCAGTTCACAAATATAAGCTGGTGGACAAACAACGGCCTGAACAAGCAAAATAAGTAGTTTACTATCCAGTCACATGCTGTTCGTTTGATGTTAATATAACGTTGCATTTTCTGTGCAAATATTGTCTGAAATTAAAAGCCTGTCAGCAGCTCATGTTGGCTTTGAATCTGAAAAATCTGCAAAAACATAAAATAAATACAGTTGTTTTTTTGGGTTTTTTTCCCCCCTTTTGTCAAGCAGAAAACAAATTCCCACTGAGGTATTTTACACCAGAAAGTTTACTGCATAGTGTGTTTACTGAAATGCTTACCTGGCTAGTCAGAAATTTGATAATAGATCAGTTTAATTTAGGTCACTTATCAAACAAAAACTGAAATCATTATCTGCCTGCAGCTTTACCAATATGAGGATTTGTTACTTTTCTCTGTTTTGTATATCACTGTAAACTGAATATCTTTAGGGTTTGGAACTATTAATCGCACAAAAATGACACTTGAAGATGTGATCTTGCACAGTGAGAAACTGGAATGGACATTTTTCACTATTCTCTGATGCTTTATAGATGAAATAATTGAACAATTCATTGCATTTGAACTGTTTACTCTGCATGCACACTTCAGAGGTGCAAACAGAAGCCCAGTACTTTGCACAATAAACTATGATGCATGTCTGCATTGTTCGAGGCAGCCACAGGTATTACTTCATAGCCCTCATGCAGACAGTCAGCCTAAAAGCTGAGCCTAAAATAATCATAATTTAGGGACATTTTACATGTTTTTTTGTTATTATTTACAACAACATAAGAGACCAGATGAAAGACCACACAACGCTTAAATAGAGATTTGTCTTGCTGTCAAATGTGTAAAAGGAATGACCACATGAGAGTATCAAAAAGAGTTTACAATACATTGTAAAGTAAGGGTGAAACCATAATTTTATTATTGATCTAACATTTCTGTTTTGCCAATATTTTCTCTTTTAGCTGTGTAGTATAAAACAAAAGTATATATAAAAAAAAGAAGTGAGAAATGTCCATCAGATGTCTTGTTTATAGTTTAAAACACCAAATTATTCAAACCAGAACGGCAGAAAAGCAACATTTTCTCATTATGAAGAATCTGGAAGTTTTTGAACTGTTCCTTTTTGATACCAGGAAATCCAAATAACATGGCAATCCAGGCAGATCTTTGATTAAATATTACACTACTAGTAGATGAACATATTTAAACCTCATTAATGTACGTTAGTGTCTTCAGGGAATTGTAAATCTTCATTATATGACTCTGTATTGTATTACTGCAGGTACGCCTTACAACCAGTTCATGTTACAGTGTATTTTGTATGTGATGGTCTCAAGTGTTTGTATTCTATATGAATGTTTAACAACTATTGTCTGTGAGACATTTAATTCAGTGGAAACCACATATTTCAGCTCATCTTTTATCTTTTTTTTTTTTCTCAGCTGAAAACTAAGCATTGTAGTTAATGACAGATATGAACTGTAAATCTTTTTTGACTTTTTGTCTTATCTGTTTATGCTTTCTCGTTAGTGTTCTACTACAATCAATAACCCACGAAACTAAAACTAAAAGTCAATAACAAGCTACATATACTGTAAAACTATGGAATGCAGCAAACAGTCGGAAATGCAAATTTTTTCTAATTAATTTTGCTTTTCTGTAACTGTAGTTTTCTTTCAGAATATGCCAAGAGACAGTTTTCATATTTCTTTCTTTCTTTCTTTCTTTCTTTCTTTTTTTTTTTTTTAAAAAAAGCTATTAACTAAAACTAAACAGAAGACAAACAAAATACAGTTTAGGTTTTATTTATTCACGGTGTATTCACTTCATCCTAGAGGTGTCATGGAATAAGAATAAAACACAAAAATACTCATTGTTGCTCTCTGTGAGGTGGGTACTTCTTTTAAATAAGTGCTGGGTGCTGAGCAACATTTTTTTTGCCCTCTTGATGTCCTTGTTGAGTAGCAATCTTCTCATCTTTTATTTGATGTCACAAATTAGCCAAATAATTTTTTTCCCCTCCATGCTGAACATCACCCTTTATAAGTCAAAAATAATAAATGAATACTGTTTGTTGGCCAGCTATACAGCTTTGTCAACTTTTAAATGGCACTTCCGCTCTTGTGTTTTCTGTTCCTCAGTGGAACATGTATCTGAAGTCAGCCACACCAGCATTTATCACTTTTATTTCCCATCAGATTCCTTTGATTTCATTGACTGATTACAAGTGTGACCTTTTGATACTGATATTTAACCATCCAAAGTGTAGCAAGTTGTCCTTTTAGTAAAATCAGCTTAATCACAGAGCTAAAGTAGGTAATTGTTTTTTCACATATATAATTGAACATGACGTACACTGTTTGAATCAGTCGTTCTCTATGATAAGCACCTGTTAGAGCTCTGTCATTGCCAAATCATTTCCTCTTTTGTAGTTTTTCCTTTTTGTTTCTTTTTAAAAGGTTTTTACTGTTTTCATTTTTGCAAAATTGATACCAGTTGCTAATGCCGTGTTGCCTCATTTAGCTGTTTTTTTGTGTGTTTTCTGTACTGTTGTCTTTGCTTTATGCCCCTCATTTTGTTTGTGGTTTCTCAGGTTTCATTTTTGTGTTATCACATTGCTATGAACATTTCTCCGCCGACTTGTCGTGTCTTTTGGGTGTGAGGGTTTTATTAAATGGTGTAATTGTACAAATAGGTGTAAACTTTTTAAATGATACTGTTTCTGTTGTTAAAATGTGATGTAGATTCTTTTTTTTTTTCTTTTTTAAAAAAATTTAAGTGAAATCAAATATCCTGTGCTAATAGTATGTTGTTGTGTCTGTGCCGTGCACACTTTAGCCTGTTGGTGTCAACATCTTGATGATTTTATGTGTGTGTAAAAGGTTAAAGACTGGACTATGAGCCACATATTTAATATAAACACAAAATGTATGTTTATTGTAATTGTTTCTTTAATCGTAGTCTTGCATAGCCAGACCTATTTCCACAGCAGCTGGAGAATGGTCTGGCTGCATCTCCTTGTCTTTCTGCTGTGTTGGAAAGAATGATCTGACTTGTATTTACAAATCAATCTTCTGCAGAGCAAAATCACGGATGCAGCTTCAGTAACCCCACAACACACTGACAGAGGAATTGTTTTGTTGCAACATTTACACGTGGTGAGATAGTGCTGTCGGTACAATGACTAATTCACTTAAAGAACCAAGCGGGCCTCCCTTATTGCACAATCCAAACCGTCCTCCAAACATGTCATTTTTAGCATGCAGGTTGTTTCTCAGAGATTGTTGTGGTTTCCTTTTGTGAAGAGAATTTTGAAGATGGTTACAGTGCCTATAAAAAGTATTCAGTTACTTGAAAATGTTCTTGCATCCATCCACTGACTTGTGCTTTTCAATTTCCTGTTCACTGAGTTACTTGGAGTATTCTTTTGTCTTCGTTGTGTAGTTTTATCCAGGAGTACTGACTCACCAGTGACTGGACCTGCCAGATACAGTTGTCTTTATTTCCATTTAACTAATTGTGGGATCTCAAGCTCCTATTGGCTGCATCCATGTTGAATTAGGTGAGTCACTTGAAGGGACAAATATGCCATTTTTGCCTAACAGCCTACACTGAATTGCATAGATGTACTTTCTGAAGTGCTCTGTCAAACCATTACTGCTTTCTTTAGAATACTGTAGAACAAATTTCAAACCACCTTTTTCCTAGGTTTAAGGATTTATTATACAATATAATCATGTATACAGTTATTTCTTTATCGCAACTGCAAATAAATGTTTGTGATAACAGCATTGAATTGTTTAATGGAAGCTCAGAGTCCTGTCATTATCTGTCATAATGTTTTACAGTCTTCACTATCAGCAGTGAGGCTTTCATTACATGCCAACATATTTCTAGCTTTACTCATTGTCATGGATTCACTGCCTGTTTTGAATGATCAGCATAACCAGTTAATAATTCACCAATATTCCAGTAACTCCCGTAATTTGGATTCTTTCCTCCTCGGACTTCTTCTCCTCAATCTCAAACTGTGTTTACTGGCTACAAGGGAAGAGGAAAAGGCGGTGAGAGCTGATTTTCTTTCTTTTTTTGTCTTTTTTTCAAAACTCTTCAACAGCAGGCCCACACCTGCAAGGCCATCAAAGACCACCAGGGGTACACAACAAACGTTATCTTCATTTGCTTCATTTCTATCACACTGATCTCAGCAACCTCGACCCCGTCACACATGAATATCATCTCTGTAATTAGTTTATGCTACATTATGATTCATGACATGCTGACGTGAAGAATAAAGCGTGCAAAGATTTAATTGACCTAAAGTTTAAGTAAATTAAACCTTTACTTACACACTTGTAGGCAATGCTTAGAAGTTAAATAAAAAATGTTCATAGGTGACTTTAAATCTTGACATAAGGTGTGTACAGTCCTGGTTCTGTCACTGGTCTTCTGTAATAGACTGACAAGCTGAGTGTTACAGGCCTGACTGCTGATTAAACTTCATTCAATTTTATTATGGGTGGTTCTTTTGACTCCTCTTACAGAGCAAGGTTCATAGAGTCGTCACTGTCTGAGTCCCCTTGTCGATCCTCATTCTTCACCCTGATTTCACTGTCCAGATCTGAATCGGCAAAGGCAATCTTTTTTGTCGGCTGGTTGTCGTCTTCGTCATCTTCTCTGTTGCTGCGTGATGGTTCCTCATCTTCCTCCTCGCTGTCATCCTCTCTGCTGTCTGGGATGATGACTACCTCCTCTTTGGCATTGGGGTCAATGTCCTCCTTAAACCAGACTGATTTATAGCCCTCCTCCACGCGCCTCTCCTTGGTCAGGATGGGTTTCACATCCTTCTCGCTGTCGGCCCCCTCGGATGCCGTGTCGCTGGAGTCATCAGGCAGCAGGTCGTGCAGTGGTGCAGTAGACCTGACAATGGCCTCTTCGCGCGGGATGCTCCATGTTGTTTGTGGTAGCTCTTTAGCATACTTTACACTTCCCCCATCTGGACTGCCTGAGCCCAGGCTGCTTCCATCCTCATCATTCTGGAAGGCCTCATTGGTGTACTGGATGCCCTCCTTATGACCACCTGAGCCTTGACCCAGCTGTGGAAGAACAATCAGGAATAGAAAAGACAATTACTCACGATTATTTTGAATAAAACACAGGCTTTTTTGACCAGCATATAACATGTTGTGTATTGTTTGTGTTTTGTAGTTGCTTTGTAGAACGCTCCAGCTGTACAATATCCTAGTTAGAGAAGAGCACCTCCCTCACTGACAGAGCACACCTTGTTTCCAGTGACAAGCTACCATCCTTGTAGCAGCTGTGAAATCAGCTTACAGACGCCTGTCATTTGTATTTAGAGAAGATGTCACTGATAGCAGACACTGCGAGTGACGGATAACTCTGTCAGTAATATGAGACAAAATATTTTAGACCTTTTTTCAAAAATCTATTGACCTGCCTGCACTGCCACACCATGGTGAAACGTGACATTAATATGCAAATCCACATTTCATAATATCTGTCCTCCATTGTCTGTTGGAGGGCAAAGGTTGTTTTTTCATTTTTTTTATGAGGCCTCAGTTATTAGTGTATAGAGGTTAAAGACAACACCTTTGTATTTAGTGCCAAGTATCAAGCGAAGGGGGTGATTTTCTAAATCAGTGCAACACATTGCTGCACACAGTTGTAGTTTAAAAAACAAAAGAAGTGTCCAGAAGGTTATAGGATTTCTGTAAGTCTTTGAATTGGCAGAAGCCTGGCTGCCTTACAATATCATAAGGAATTTGAACCCTTTGTCACCCCACTGTGAAAACAAAATTGACTTTCCCTCTTTATGCCACAATTGAAAAAAAAAAAAAAAAGAATGATATAAGCCCCGAAGGCCAGTTTCACAATCTTATGGAATATGTTGAAAAATAAAAATAAAAATTTGGCATGTTATGTGGATAAGATAAATTCTTCAGACAGACACCATGAGATTTTGCTTTCTGGAGTCAACCAGTTAGTATGTAAAGCTTCTACAGTTAATCGATTAATTGCTTAGTTGTCAGCTGTTAAATAAATTGCCAACTATTTTTGACATTTAATGAATTAATTTCTTTAATTTTTCAAAGAAATACCAGTCAAAAGTATTTGATTTCAGCTTTTTGCCTGTCAATATTTTCTGGTTTCTTGCCTTCTCTGTGACAGTAAACTGAATTTCTTTGGGTTGTGAACCAAACCAGACATTTGGGGACATTTTCTTGGGCTTTGGCAATTACTGATTGACATTTTTCACCATTTTCTGACATTCTATAGACCAAACAACTAATCAGTAATTTGAGAAAATAATTAACAGATTAACTGACAATAAAAATGATCGTTAGTGGCAGATCTAGAAGTAAGTGGACAAAGAGTGAAACAATGAATACTGGTCAGCATAAGGCAGATTAACCCTTCTCTAGAGAGGGAGAAGACAAAAGAGGAGGCAAGTGGAAGGACTGACGAGAGGCTCTAGAAACAACAAACCTGGGAGAGTAATGATTGCCTGTTACCATTACTGCAGAGGGGTTAGTCTATAATAACTTAATCATTGGGAAAAAAAGCCTTCACTGAAGCCCAAAGTTTAAGTCACAGACTAGTGAAGCTATCAGTCAAAGAAACTAATGGAAGTTGAAGCGAAAAGCCAGAAAATTGAAAAAAATCCATTTTAAACTTAAGGTCCACTTGTTAAGGGACCAAGCCCAATGTTCAGAAAGAATAGCCAAGAGCAACGTACTAAGAATAAGGCTGTTTTTTTAAACTAAATGTTTATTTGTCCTGTTGTGATCCAAGTCACTTAATGTTTTGTATCTCCCAATACCGGATACCATTTTCCTAAATAATAAACATTTTCAGTATTCCACATTAGCTGTAGGACCTGTTTGTGCCATGAGGGGGAGTGCCAGTGCATGTGTTAAGTCGAGTCAGGATGAAATAGGATGTTATCCTCGTTTTCTAGTATATTTGCAATGGCTGCTTTTGTAGCTTAGATCATGTGTCTGCAGTTTTGCCAGCAATATCAATCAATCATTGATTAATGTAACTGCATATTTTAACGAAATTGCTCAAATTTACAATACGTCTGTGGCAGTAGATATGAACAAAGGATCAAGTTTATGTTCTTGATGGTACCAAACTGTTGCTGACAGTTTATCCTGAAGTGGATGCCCTTACTCTGCACACTCTAACAACCTTTTAAACGTAGAACTTACAGAACTCCGAAACATGCTGGCCTCGTAGATCTTCTTCCAGTCTGCTTTTCCTTTCTGCAAGCGACAGACAAGCATCCCGATGACCACCAGACAAACAAACAGCAGAACACCCAAGACCGCACCAAGCACCGCCATGCCCACCACATCATTTCCACCAGATGGAACGGTCACTGCAAGAACAAAGATCAGCATGTTCAGACATCGACCAAAAGACACTAACACTCGACTTACTGGTGCAGCTTGACTGTAAAGCTAACACCTAAGAATCTAGTTAATTATAACAGTTAAAGTTTAAAAAAAAAAAAAAAAGTTAATAGTCTAGACATTTAAAACGTTTAACCTGCTGTGCATTCATAAGGGAATTTAACCAAAGATATAGGCCTGTTTTGTAAAATTAGCTTTGGTTAAACAGAGTCACCAGTAGTTGGACTTCAGTGTCAAAGAAAACTGACAGGCAAATCTGATAGATTATCTAAGAAATGCTAAGAGCCTATCTTGACATGGAGATTAATCTCAAACTCCCCAATGCGTTGAAGTTTAAAAAAGAAAAATTAAGCTTGGCCTGTTGAAATGTGATTAAAACTTTTTTAGAGCACTGCATGACAAAGAAGTGTTCTGTGGTTGGTTGTTTTTATGTCACCATCAAGACCCTTCATAGTCTCAGCAGCTCTTGGTTTACTTGCCACTTTGCATACATTGAAAACGAAGCTCCTTCCAATTGCCCTTTGCTTCACTTTGTTTTGTTAATCATGTGCAATGTTAAATACTGCTCTCACATTATTTGCTAGCTTGATTTTTCATAACAGGACAATATTTAATTTGACTGAGAGGAACATGAGCACCTGGTTGAGTTGTGCTGGCAGTGGACCTTCTTTCAGTGCTCAAAGTAACATCAGGGGTTGACAAACTGTCTTCAGTGGACATAGTGGGGACAGTGGTGGATGGGGTGGCCTCACTGGTTGTGCTGGTTGAGGTGCTGCCGTCAACTGACGTACCTGGGTCAGTGGTGGGCCCATTACTGTTGGTGGTCTTACTGTCAGTAGTGGAGTCCGTTAGAGGTGTTGTGTTGGACTCAATATTGTTGGTGGTCGATCTGCCAGTGGTTGATTCCCCATTGGGTGTCATGGTCATAAAGTCTGTAGTGCTCGTTGGCAAACTGGTTGTGAGACCTGAGAGGAGAACACAGTTTGAAGCCCCGTAGTTTTACTTCTTGTTCCTGTTTACTTCAAACCTTAAAAGTTGCCTCAGACAGGACGCAAAGTCCATTTTTACTTTGATTTATTTGCAAAAACCTGATGTCCACGATGTTCTTTTTCATGCTGCAAACAGGCAGTGAACCCAACAATACATGTGATTTAACCAGCAGATGAAAGCACTGCCAACCACACAATGATCAGATTGTGTGAAAAGGTCTTTGACCATATTCAAGTGAGCTCTGTCATTGTATATGACATCAAAGCAGACCAACCACAGGACACTGTTGCAATGAGTATGCGAAACACCTCAAAAGCATATCTAAGCCAAGCGTGCCAAATTAATGTTGATGTGCATGCCTTCCATTCAGTGTGTGCTGGTGTTGGAGAGGCCACATGTTCTCCAGTAAAACGACTTTCCTTGTTGTAACAGCTTTGAATGGGCATATAAAGAGAGAGCATCATGGTCTTTTCTTCCACTTGATGTTGGGGAGGTGAAAACACCATCTCCAGGATGTTTATCAAAGCTGCAGAGTCATTATTTGTAGTTCCAAAGCTGGTATTATGCTCAGTTACTCCAAGTCTACCATCATTTTTTTTTCTTCTAAAGCTTTAATTATAGCAGCCAGTAGTGATGTGAAGGCCAGGGTTTTTTAACACCCACGCCCACTTGACTCATCCAAAAAGCCAAATTCACAAAAATATGCGGGGTTACACCAAACATCTAAAACTGTATCTGTCATGGCTCCCTTAAAATATTTAGTTAGAGATGGCCATGTGTTGGCAGTATTTTTTAGCAAAACACATGCTACTGAATGATGATAGACATAGTAGTTTTTTTTTTTTAGAAGATTAACGTTATAGAAATGCTAATTGCAGAAACATCATGTTTTGAGCTCCTCCCTTACCGTACAGCCAAACTATGTGTCTATTATTCTTGTAGATGAATCATAGCAACTGGACTTGCTTGAGTTCTCAGTACTCCACCTGCCACAATCTCGGCCTCCACCTCTGTTGAGGGAGGTGGAGGTCTGAGGCATCACCTCTCACCTGTTTACAATTCAGTCTTAAGAACTCTCCCCAGGAAGATGAAACCACATTTGCACCTAGCCACAAAAGACCCTAAACAAACCCCACTGTGGCAGGGGGAGTACTAACAACTCGCATAATGAGGGGAAGGAGCAACAAACCCCCAGTTGAAACCGAAACTCAGGTGTTAATGGCTCCTTAAGGATATCAGTATCTGGAACTCCCAACTAGTCAGTCAGAACTGATGAAGCCTCTTGGATGAGAGGTGGAACATCTTCCAGGAACTCAAGCAAGTCCAGTTGCTGTGAGTAATCTACAAGGATAACCATGACCTGGATGACTGAGAATCTTCACAGATATGTTTCTGTTGCTTATTTAAAACTTAGTGAGGATGTTGCTTTGTCAGTTTTTGATCCGAACCTGTTTTCCAAAGCTATTATACTTATCAGTCCAACAGACAGGACCCCTGCAACACTAACCTCCACTTTCACAAGTTACTCTCTCGTTCATGACATTTTGTTGTCTTCCTGCCTCTGCCTCCATCTACCTTCTTGTTGCAAGGCAACAGTGCTGACCAACTGCGCCACCTTGCAGCCCATAATGTTATACAGCTCCATTCAATTAAATTTTATTTATATAGCGCAGTTCCCAACATATGTCATATCACAGTGCTTAACATAGTAGGTGAAGACCTTACAAATTTTAAACAGAGAACCCAACAATCCAAAGTTGCTTTTGGACTCCCTCTGAGCAAGCGGTCGGCAACGGTGGTCCAAAACTTAAAAAGAATGTGGGACAGAGGTATAAAGTGGGGGCCCTGAATCCTCCATCCTGTGAGTCAGACTAACAAGAAGCAACCTTTCATTCTGGCAAACATGATTGCAGGTAGTACAATGCTGAACATTGCTTCATTGAACACCAAAAGAAGAAGAGAGATGTTTTGTGAAGCTTGTCTTCCTACCTGATTTCACCTCCACTAAAAGCTGGCTTGTGTCTGATTCATCATTAGTTGTGTCTATTGCCGACACCTGGAAGTACCAAGATGGATATGAGTGCTTGAAGATGACCATTCAAATCAATCATTTAAACTCCTGTAAAATTTGAGATAGATTTGTAAACTCACTTGCAGGGTTAATGTGCTTTCTGGGAGATCCGTAGTCATGAATAAGTAGCCATTAAAAAATATGAAATCATGGCTGCCGATAATGACGTAAGTGATGTGAGGATTTACACCCTGTTTGAACACATATGAAAAAGTTAGTGCTGAGCATCAGTTTGACTGAAAACTTCAAAAAGAGTTCCTCAATCATCAAACACACGACTGATGCAATGCATTAAAGCCGCATTATGTCAGCCCTCATAATAGCCATAATTCTGAGAGCTTTTGGGAATTTCAGACAGTATCGCTATCATATGTAACATTACTATTACTACTACTACTAATAATAATAATGATAATAAACTTTATTTATAGAGAACTTTTCAAAACAAATGTTACAAAGTGCTTTCCAGTAAAAAATAAATTGAAAATTAAAATACAATAAGCACAAAGAATAATTAATAAAAGTAGAAAGCACACAAATAAAACAGGAAGCTATAAAACATAAAACTTAGATAAAATCAGGAAAAGCTCTCCGATAAAAATGTGTTTTAAGAAGTGACTTAAAAGAGAGCATGGAATTAGCTGACCTGATTTCCTCGGGCAGGTCATTCCAGAGCCTCAGCGCCCAGACTGAAAACGGTCTGTCCCCCTTTGTTTTCAGCCGGGCCTCTGGCACAGTTAAAAGACCTTGCCCGAGGATCGTAAAGAGCGTGGTGGAAATTACGGTGTTAAAAGGTCGGCAATGTAAATAGGACAGAGACCGTTGAGTGCTTTAAAAGTGACTAATAAAATTTTAAAATCAATCCTAAAACGTACTGGCAGCCAATGTAAAAGAGCTAAAACAGGCGGGATGTGCTCATGTTTCCTCTTCCTGGTTAAAAGCCTGGCAGCAGAGTTCTGCACTGTCTGTAATCTGTCCAGGGATTTTTGATTAAGACAGGGAAAAAGACTGTTGCAGTAATCCAGCCGTGAGGAAATAAAAGCATGTAAAATCGTCTCGGTATCTTTAAAAGTTAAATAAGATCGAATCTTTGAAATATTTCTAAGATGATGAAAACATGACTGTACAAGTTTTGTGGTGTGCTTTTCAAAGTTAAAGTTAAAATCAAACCAGATGCCAAGATTCCTTGCAGCAGGCTTCATGTTTTTCACTAGCGGTCCAGCAGATAGCAGAATTTGTTTTGCCATCTGCTGGGACCCGATTACTATGATTTCGGTTTTAGTGCCGTTCAGCTGAAGGAAGTTCTCTGACATCTAGTTTCTCACATCTGCAGTACAGTCAATTAAAGCACTCAACGTCCCAGGATCAGTGGTCTTAACGGGCAGGTACAGCTGCGTGTTGTCAGCATAAAAATGAAATAAAACATCATGTCTTTGTATTATGTGCCCCAGGGGGAGCGTGTACAAAGAGAATAAAATTGGACCCAAAACCGACCCCTGAGGCACACTGTACTTAACTGGACAAAATGACGACCTGTGGTTGTTTGCTGCAACATAAAAGCTTCTCTTAGTCAGGTAAGATAAAAAGCACTCTAAAACTGTACCCGAAATCCCCACCCAGTGCCTCAGTCTGTTTAAAAGAATGCTGTGATCAGTTGTGTCAAAATCATATATCTGTTGGCAGAATGGCTGGAAATGCGCTGCTGACAGCTGCATCAAAATAATATTCTATATTAACATCAATCAGAAATGACTTCGTGCATAAGGCAGAGTAAACCCTGGTCAGGTCACCAGTCCATCACCGGGCTAACACAAAGTGACACACTTACAATCACAACTACAGCAAATTCAAAATCACTAACATGTAGATGTGGGGGGGAACTGTGGAAAAAAGCCGGAGCACTGGTGAGAACCCATGTAGGCACAGGATGAACATGTAAACTACACACAAAAAGGCTCCAGCCGACCCGGAGATTTGAAACCAGTGCCCTCTCTGTGAGGTGACACTGCTAACTGCATCTCTACTGTGCTGTCTGCAAAAGCTAGATCCAGCTTGTAAATAAAAATATATTTCTGATGATTCCCAGCAAAATACACACACATTCCAACAGAAGTCCTAAGAAATATGCAAAAGATGTACAAATGTTTGGAGATGGTTTATCAAAATAAACAGTTGGTGGCGTCACTACTTTTCCAGTTGCATGCCATTAAATCAACAGCCCCACAGAAGGTTGTGTATGTTATGATGTGTATGTTATGATGTCCAACTCTGTTTTCTTTGCACTTATCACATGCATTAACTTTTCCTAAACATAACTTCTTTTTACTAAAAAAGGTTTCAAGTGTTTAAGTGGATTCAGTGTTCTACCCCAGTGGCAGCATAGTCCTCATCTGTGACGAGGATTTGTAGTGGCTGGTCCTTGTTCATCACGTCCATCACCATGGTGCCTATAGAAGTAGCGACACCTTCGTACCGAGGCTTCTGAAACTTTGGGGGGTGGAGGCTCTTCACCTGGACACTGATTGTGACGGTGGTGGTGGCAAACTGATGACTGTTAATTGCCTGAGCAGCCTAAAAGAGAAAGAGCTTAATGAAAGTATTAAACATAAAAGCATTCTAATTTCTAACCGCAGCGAGCTGAGCTTTGCTAATCGTAAGTTGAAACTAGAACTACAGGATCTTAGAAATACTGAAGTGAGTTCCCCCAGCAGCACCTAACTAAAAGAGTCTTGCCTTCCTACTGACCAGACTTAGTATTTTACCAAATGACACATACATCAGCAACAATTTTTCCTACATCTGCAGGTGAAAGAATCGGGGGGGGGGGACTTTTTGAAACACTCTTTTAAGTTATTTTCTAAATTTAGATTTTTTTTAATGCAATGTAGTTGCAGACTTGAAAAGCTTTAGCATAAAAAATACCTAAATAAATAAATAAAAAAAAGTCCATGTTTTCTCAGTGAATCTAAACTCCTCTTCTCTTGTCACTGTCCATCCAAATTCAGTCCAAGTATGACTGAGAAAATGACCTCAGATTCTGAGTAGCAGCAGTTTGGCCTTGAATAAAAGAAATTCAAGGCATCGAGGCTGAAGCCAGGCTTCATTTGATGTTTTGTTTGTTTGGGTAACATGCTAAAATGGTGTGTTCCTCGCATTTCCCACCTATCAAAAACCCATAGCTCAGTTTAATTTCAGCATTAGGCACAGACAAAATAACCATTTGAATGAAGTAGATAAAAGCATGTGAATGTTTTGTCTTTACCAGCACTGACAGACTGATTGTCCCCAACACATCAGTGGGCTTCAGCATGGTTATGCCCCCCGTGTTCTGGTTGATCTCAAACAGATTATCTTCATTTCCTAAAACACAGACAGACTGGGCTACCTCTAGCTGCCAACAACTAGTAATGTATTTCTGCAGATGTAGATGTCAGACTGAAAAATAGACCATTGTTTGTTATAATCCAAGCTGCTTACCACTTAGGAAAGAATATGTTATTTTCTCATTTATTCCAGTGTCTCCGTCAATGGCATGTAGAGGTCCTGGTTTCAATGGTAACACTCCAGTCTGTATAGGAAAAAACACTTTTATATTGTGGTCATGTAACTATGAAGCTTTTTATCCCACCTTCAAGTATAAAAATTAACAACAGATACAAATACTTTAGACCGAGTTTAGACATGATTGAACAGTGCAACAAACTGAGCATATTCCTATATTTTGGCAGCGAGCTGTCTGATTGACTGCTTATCATTAAATATTCTACTTGAGGCAAAATGACATTGCTTCACTCCATCTGGGTTTTACCCAAGAGCTCAGTATCAGTGCTGAGCTTTTCAGATGAAAGCGACACACCTCTTGTTCGTTTAAGGTAACACTGCCAGTGTAGCCAGCACTGTGGCAGATCACATTCCCATCAACTTCAACCTCGGTGCAAGGCTGAAACCACGGCGGTCTGTTGTCCACATCTACAATGGTGACAATGATAGTTGTTGTTGCAGTGTGCACTTCATCCCCTGCTACTAAGGCTGCGTCCTGAGAAAAAAAAAAAAAGTGTTTGAGAGAGCCTAGCTTACTTCCAGAGACTAAAAGGACAATTTGAAGCCACTGAGTTAGAAGAAAGAAATAATGTTGTAGAATCAGCAATGAGCACTATACTCACCTTAGCGGTCAATATCAGTTCAACATTTTTGACTTTGTCATAGTCGAGACGTGCATTAACAAGGATCTCTGGGTTTGTAGAGGACCTTAGTACAAAATCATTCTGTAGAAATAAGATAAGACAAAAAAAAAAAAAAAAAGTTCATAGCTAAACGCATTCTTGACCTAAATTGGTGCTGGAGACAGAACTAACATTCATCATCTCATGTGACTTTGGGAAAAACAAACAAGGATTTATGTAAATACTGGACCTACAAAGAGACAAAAGAAATATAAACAGAAATTCTTACAGATGCAGATGTTAGTGTATAGGAGAGTTGAGGATGTGCGTCTAAGTCTTTCGCAGGGTAGTTGCCCACAATTTCGCCGACAGGAGACAACTTTAAAGAAAAGGGTGCAGCAAAATGTAAATTGAGTAAAGTAAAATGTAACATAAAATTAATAATAATATTTGATGTTCAGTTTGAATTAATAAAATAAAATAAAAAAAACAAACAAACAAATCAAAACATTTACAATGATACATAATATAACCTGTTAGGTTTTTATCACACTCTTACCTCATCGACATTTGCTTGGTAGGAAGCTGAATCAAAGAATGGAGGGTTGTCATTTTCATTGGTCAAAAGCACAACAATGACGATCTCCAACTGGAAACAAAAACACAGTCCTAGTTTAAACTACTTATTCTGCGCTAAATACCATAGTGTTGTCTCTTGTTCCTTTTTTTTTTTTTTTTCATTTTTAAAGAAACTGAAAAGAAAATGTACGAGCAAAAAGCAGATATAGACTCTATGTGAAAAGAAAATGCAGGACATGAAGATGTTCTGTCTGCATAATCTTTAAAAGTGTGAAACAACAGACACCAGCATCTGAAAAACATTCTCACACAACAATCTTTGAGAATCTTTTGAAAGTGGGTAACCTTCTCAAGAAAACCTTAACTCTTCTTAACAGAACCTACAAAACTTCAAAACCACAAAAAGACTAATTCTACCTGGAGAACCTTTTTATTCATATGCAACCTCTTCAAGAACATTTAGAACACCCTCAGAAATGTGCACAAATTTGTACAAAAAACACTTGTAGGTACTTTTCAACTACTTACAGGAAATCTTAAAAAAATCAAATGGAGCTTATGCGTTAGTTCATACAGGCATGGAATCAGGGCATCACAAGGCCCCTTCTGTACAATCTTTCACTGCTTAAGTCCAGCCCACCCACTGCTTTATAACTGAGGCAGCGTTCATTCTTTCTGCCCACTCCACGCTCACCACATCATTGCTACGCATGCCTCTACAGATCGGCAAATCTCCTCCTCCTCCCCAACCTCCTTCCTTTTAAAAGTTTAATTCCAAAACTCTGACTGTTTCTCATATTGTGTGGGACTGTAGAACACAGATGTTCATAATTATACCTTGACCCCGGAAAACTGTAAAGTGAGGACCACTTAAGTTGGTCTCCTTGTTTTGTGTTCATACTGTATCATTTGAACATTGTGAATTTAAGGCTCTGCCGGGGGGTTTGTGATCTCAGGGACTGTCTGTGTCATGCTTGCTCAGCTTGTTCCAGAGTATCACTCGAGCAAAGTCACGCCAAACTTAAATGCATGTGATTCCAAATAAATTAGTAAATCTGACAAAGTGTCCTGTCGGAAAAATTATTCCCAAAATAACTTTTCAAACTGTGCCACCTAGAAACCTTCTCAAAGACTTCTTCAACATCCCTTGGCACCCTTTATCACCTCCCCATGCACTTGTGTAATGGAACCTGGACAAAAGGTGCACCTTTACAACTTTTTCTCAAACCTTTACAACTTTAAGAAGCTGTACAACACCCTTAAGCATCTGGAACACCTTTTAAGACACTTGTTAAACCTCATCAAACAACCAGAGAATCTCAACAAGAGCTTGTACAATCTCTTCAGTTACTTGTACAAGCTTGTTGACCACCTGAATAACTTCTTCAAGCATCTGGTCAAACCTTTTGAGAAGCTGTGCAACATTCAAGCCCCTCAAGGATTTCGTAGGTACTATTTACAACTTGTTCAAGTGCAGCCTATTTAGGAACCTATAAAACCTCTTTAACTACCTTTACAAGAGCAACTTTCCTAAGAACCTCTACAACTTCGTTAAAGACTCTTAAAAGCCTTGGCAAGTGACTGGAGAACACCTTCAAGAGCACATACAACCCTCTGAAACCTAGAACTTCTTGAGGCACCTGGAGACAAGAGCTAGTACAACCTCTTCTTGCACCCAGAGAACCTTTGTGCTTCATTTACAATCCCTTCAAGAGCAGAGAAATTCCTGAAGAACCTGCTCTACCTCCTTGTTTTTTCAGTGAGGTGCTCTATCACTTACGTGGGATCCTGTTACAATGTAGGACAACATTCCACTTATTCACACGATGAATGAGGCATGCTTGCCTTATGTAAATGTCACTTTGTCAGTTTTCAGTATGAACACACTATAGCATGAATATAAAAATGAATATTGGCTCAATCACAGTTTTACCTTCAGTGCTGTTGCTGTTTCGGTACACGTGATTGCAACCTCATAAAGTTGTGTAGTCTGCAAACAAAACACACTTCAATTTCAGTAGGTTCTACTAGAGAATCTAAACTGAGTTGTGGGTTTGGATGTGATTGGCACTTTAGTCATGATTGATAATACCTCAAAGTCCAACATCCTTTCAGCTACCAGCTGGTTTCCTTCAAGCCTGAATGGGTTTTCTGGGTTTTCAGGGGGAGGACTAAACTCAAGAGTCACCCCTGACTGGACAGTGATCGTCGCCACGACATCACCCACATTGTTGTTTTCTGGAAAGTTCACAAGTGAAGAAGGAGCAGAACAGACTGTTGGAAGAGAAGAAGAAAACATGTCACAATTAAAAAAGTAGTCCAAAGTCAAATTAGAACATGGATTCATTTTTGTTTATTGAGCACCAAAACAGTACTGCGAAGGTAATGTGTAAAAATGCTGAAAAAGGATGGCTTCTTACTCAAATGTAAATTCACTTTCCTGTTGAAACTGCAACAGGGCAAGAAACAAAACCTACAGACTGTTGCATCATGTACAAATTCAATCTGAGCATTGGTTTACACCATACAAGAACATGTCACTTTGGCTCATGTGGTTTTGTGCTATGTTTGTTTAAGTTGCTTCAGACTGCTATACTTTCTAGACTGCTTAGTCCCCTTTAAGGACACGTTTCATACATGCGCAGTGCATCACTGTCTATGTATTTCAGCGCATCTGCAGTTGGGGTCCTCGTAGTATTATTGCTGTACAAAAACATTGGAGCATGCTTGGACACACAATCCTCACATACATCCTCTGATTATGAACTTAGGCGGACTCAGTACACTTGCATACCCAGGGATGTGTAAAGCACAACCTCAGTCTCTATTGGATGCTAACAAAACTCCAAGGTTCAGTCGCACACTCTTAATCAGAATAGGACCCAGAACAAGGAGAGACTCCAGCAGAAGTCACTCCATTACAAAATGCAAAATGTTTTTATTTAGGGGCATTCCTGGAGCATTACAGCTTTGACATAGCATTGGCCTGCGTGTAAATGATCAGAGTTAATGTTAGCATTAGCCACATTTGCCACGCAATGTGCTAAGAGTGAGGGTTTTCCTGTTGTTGTGGGGACATTGTCATCAAAATGAATGATAACCCACTGGGTCTTCAGTTCCTTAGATGCTGGGAATGCATGAAGACTCTTGTGTTCACTCTCAGCCAACAGCAGAACATTTGGTGATCTTTTTCTGTGGATGAGATTCTTTAGAGTTAGCAGCCCTTCTAGTTACAAAATATTATTCATGGTGGACTGTGAGGCAGCTGCTCATTCCTTGTTTGAGTCTGTGCCAAAACAGCTGCAAGGCAGGTTACCCGGTGACTTTGACAAATGACTGAAGAAATGCCTTGACCTCAAACTAGGTGTTTCAGGCAAGTAAAGAATGGTTTTATATGAGGGAAAATAACTCCTTTTGGTGTGAACTTTAGGCTTTGTAAGTTTGTAAACTTTTAACATGGACAAGAAAGCCAAAAACACACCGTAGAGAAGGGAAAACCCCAAAATGCATAATGGGCTCTATGATGACTTTTCTTCTTCCATGGTGCATGTAGAATAGGAGTGGACCTTTTGCCTTCCTTCACTTGTCAAATGTGTATTTCAGTCCCACTGTATCCGAATTGTATCACTTTCTCTGACTTGACTTCCGTCAGGTACAGACAGTGAAACTAAACACAGTGGTGAGTTTAATTGTTTAATGAGCTTAATTTTTTGAAAGTTATCATCAAATCTGACAATCTGTTGCTACAACAGGCAGCTATATCTCTCTGCTGGTGAGGCTAGTAAAATGACTTTTTGATGTATTTTGTAACTGGCAATACACATGTTGACTGACAGGATAAATAATCAGAATTTGTACTCCTAAATTCAACGTCAGCACTGAAGATAAATGTCTCCACCCCTCATTACACATACTTTCCACTGTTCCATGTCAAACTACTTCCTGGTTCAGTCATTGCCTCTACTCTTCTGGCAGTAATACATATGGCTGTTGACAAGATAGATAATCACTTCCTTTAAAAATTCAACATCAGCACTGAAGATAAATGTCTCCGTCGCTCAATATCAATACTTTTTACTGTTCCACTGTTTCCATGTCAAACTATTCCTGGTTCAGTCATTACCACTCTTTCTCTCTTTTTCCACTGTCATAATATCTATCCCAAAGCACACAAATTGAGCTTTTAGAACTGGCCCTGTATGTACTACAAATACCACTTAGGTTTACGAAGCCCATGTTACTGAGCCCATTCCTTTCTGTAGGACAGACACCAGCAGTCAGATAAAACAAACATTTCTCAGATACAGCAGCAGACATCAGTACTCACTAGCAGCCTCAGTGGATGTTTGAAGCAGAATCAGAAGAAGCAAGCTGAAGGATTTGCTCACAGTGAAGAGAGGATGAATCCTGTCCATGGCTCTGTTTGTCCTGTCTAAACTGATCCCCCTCTGTGTCTGTTCCCTGCTTATCTGCTTGCCTTTATGGCTGCATTGGACTTTTGCCCATCATAAAACCTAACACGCACATCCGTTTGCTGGGAAGTCATAAGATCTTTTTCTGCGACTAATCATCTTTTATTTGATTGGTTTGACATTAGACATATCATGAGTATATGTTTGGACATATAGAAAAAGGACAAAGTATTGATAGCAATCTTATTTGATGTTTTCATATTAGCAGGCCTTCTGTAGGATTTTTGTACCCAGAGATCACGTGTCCTGATTTGCATTTATGGCTGACAACAACAGAACAAACATAGCCCAAATACATCAACAAATACCTAAACATCGTAAGTACAGTCGCTTCAGGCAATGTTGAGATGCCTTCACTTTTTGTACACTTTAGAGGGTTATAAATATAATATTATCATAAATGGAAATCTCTCACTTACAAAAATATTCAGATTGTTTTTTCAGTTCTTTGCAGAATTGGACTCAATCAATCAGACTTCATTTGAATATATTTTTTCATACAAATGAAATGTAACACAAAATGCTTGACAGTCAAAAGGAATAAACAAGCAACAAAAGCAAACCCTAACATCAGAAAGGTGTGTGCCTGACAGTGTTTAAGTCTCAGACTTCTCAGCAAAGCATTTAATATTTTACTGCTCGTCACGTGGGTGCACTAAACGCAGATAACGGCTGCTTAAGAACCAATGTTTTTGAACCAAATGGTTGGAGTGAAATGAACGGATCTAAAATGACCAGAAAACACTGTTAACAGAAAACAACAAAACACTCTTTTTCTCTGTTTAGTCTTTTTGCTTAGTTTCCAATGGCCAGCTTCTATGCCACCTAAATGAAATAAATAAGTTACATAAGGTATTACAGCTCTTCCTCTTCCAGCGGTTTCAACAGCTGAACCTGGCTCAGTTTTTCTTCCTCATGGTCATTTTGCTTTTATATCAGATGGTGTAGTGTTATTGATGCAGACAATAGACAATTGGGTAATGATTTAAAAGGGTGACAAGGCTAATAGCAGTGTAGCACTAGTACAGGTGTTTCCAAACACATGACGTCAAAATTTGGCTGAAGCTAATTGTATTGTTGTATTGTTTGTTCTAACTTCCCCCTTTGTTGCTTTGTAATCTTATAGATTTTTCTTCAGCAATTTCTTAAGAAAGAAGAAACCATAAATTTTACCACAGTTCAAAGACATCCATCCATTATCTATACACTGCTTAATCTAAGTCAGCTGGAGTCTATCCCAGCTGACTTAGGGCGAAGGCAGGGAAACACCCTGGACAGGTCGCCAGTCTATCGCAGGGCCACACTTAGAGACAGACAACCAAGCACACTCATATTCACACCTACAGACAACTTAGGATCACCAATTAACCTCAACATGTTTTTGGACTGTATGGGAGGAAGCCGGAGAAGCCGGAGAGAACCCACACTGCACGGGGAGAACATGCAAACTCCACGCAGAAAGATTCCGGTGCCCCCGGCAATCTTTTTGCTGCGAGGCAGCAGTGCTACCAACTGCGCCACCTTGCAGCCCAGTTCAAAGACATGTTAGGTTAATTGGTGATTCTAAGTTGACAGGTGTCTGTCTCTTTGTGTTGGCCCTGTGATGGACTGGTGACCTGTCAAGGATGTACATCACCTTTCGCTCTTTGTCAGGTGGAATAGAATCCATCCCCCCTACAATCCCCTACAGGACAAAACCATCTAGAATTGTTTTGTTTTAAGACAACCTGAGAAGTTTCTGCAAAGTTCTCATAATGGGAGTTTTTTCTTCTTCTTTTTCTTCTTGTTTCTAGAAGACGTTTTGAAAATGGCTGATAGTTTGCACTTACATAGCTCTTTTCTACCTTGGTGGTACTCAAAGCACTTTACAATGTGCTTCTCATTCACACACTCACACACCACTGGTGACAGAGCTGCCATGCAAGGTGCTCGCCTGCCATCAAGATCAACTTCGGGTGCAGTGTCTTGTCAAAGACACTTCCACACGTGGAACCTTAGTCGACAACCTGCTCCACCACCTGAGCCAAAGGTGCCCATAAAAGGTTTGGTGATCATTAGGAGACCATCATACTAAAAACACTGTTAAAATATATCGCAGCTGTTGCATTGAGACTGTCCTTCCTTTGCTATCATGTCATTGTGGGTTTCATAGAGGAACATCCAATAATGTATGACCTTAACAACATCCCCAAAACATCCTCATAATGTAGCATGCAACATGTTCAACTTTATTAGTTTTTAATATTACAGGAATGTTTCATGAAAAACATGCTGCCAAATGAGGCTTTGATAACATCCTGATGATATTTGTGAATGCTGGCTTGAAATGTTTTTTTCAGTTTTTATGTAACATAATGTGTGACCCAGACACATCCTCGAAATGTTTTCTAAATGTTGCAGTTACGTATTGTTTAACTTTTAGTTGTAGGAACTCATTACTTGGAATAATAAATATCTTTCAAACAATCTTTGAACAAAATGCATTTTATTAGAACTTTAAGCAACATTGTGAGAACATTACCAGCTAGCAAGGAATGTGGGGACCGTAAATCAGTAAAGTGAAACAAAATGGCATTTCATCCAGATTATCAGGTGAGGGTCAATTAGTCCGACAAATAACAATGTGTCTTTGAAGTTATTCAACCATATATGTGAAAGAAGTGTGATAACTGTTCTTATTAATACAGTACTTGTTAAAATCCACTCATCAAACTGAATACAGCTTGCTGGTGCTGTGTGTACATGTGAATTGCTTCATATAATTCTAAACACACTAAAAGTACTTCACAAAATGTATTTTTAATAACAAAAGTATCTGTGTTTCCACATTAAATAAGATAACAGTTGCACATACAGAGATTTATTCTGAACATCAGGAACATGTAACATCAGATTTAATCTCTGTCTCTGCCGAGGGTCCTCTACAGGTCGGTGGGCCAGTGGTTGTAGACTGACGGACACATGTACTGTTTCAGCAGGAGGTTCACTTTTTCCATGTCTCCTCCCGCACCACTGTGGACAAAAAAAAAAAAAAACATTATTGAAGAGAGTGATATCAGGAAAATATCATGACCTAAATTCTTAATTAGTGTCTGTTGCCTTTATGTAACCTCACTTTCCTTTGGAACTAAAATTTATTTCATCATATTTTACTCAGATCCCTTTTTGTAATCACGTCCTTCTTTTTAAATGGCGTTTGCTGCCAACTCAACACGTCAAACATGTTCACCTGTTTTCCTTCCTTACTAATAGAGTGAAACTGGATACAATCACTGTATGAGAACAATCAGAAAAATGTTATTCACTAACTATTTTAAAAATATTTTTTACTTTACCGTTATTTAAAAAAAAAATATCACTTTTAAACTACTGTCAGTGACAAGTGAAGGTGACTGCAGTTAACAATAAATGAAAACCGTGCCAGAGAAAGAGAGGAAGTATTTTTTTTAGTAGAGTATAGAGTGACATGGCTCTGCTGTTGTACTGATGGAATAAACACTGAAAATTATGCAATGTATTTTACCATCTTAGAAATACTGCAACCATTCCCATCTAAGTAAGACTCCAAAAAACTTATTCATGCTTTTATTCCCACCAGATGTGTCTTTTGCAATGCTCTGTTTTTCAACATCCCAAAGAAATATATAAACCAACTTGAGGTGTTAAAAAATGCAGCAGAACATCTCAGTTAAAGACAGACAGCACATTACTACCAGTTTTACTCCAGTTTCTTCTTGGGTTCCATGTGTTTCATTTTAAAGCTCATTTTAAGATTTCAAATCTCCTAGTTGACCAGCTCTTGATTAATTATCTAATTTGTTGGTCAGGGATGCACCTTGTAGACCTCTGAGCTCCTCTAACTCTTGTCTCTTAAATGTTCCCCAGAGTAGATGTTGATGTGAAGTTCTTTGAGTTGTACTTGCTGTATAAACTGTGTACTACAAATGGTTATTATGTATTGTTATACTTCAAAATACATTATATTATTATTGATTCTAATAAGGAAATTGGTTAATTAACTTTCAAATTTTTACAATAATCTTATACAAAAGAATTAGTTATTAAACTAGGACATGTATTGCTCTTGCACTAATGTGCCTGTAGTTTCTCCCACCTCCTCCTGACACCCTGCATGCGGCGCAGGAAGGCGCAGACCGAGCTGTGTTTGGCTTTAGATCGCAGGAACTCTGCGTATCTGTTGGAGAACTCAATGTCTCCCAGCTGTCTCCTGCGGTCCAGACCTGTAGACAGAAGCTGCCTGAAACGTAGTCACATCAAAAGTCATATAAGTATTGATGAAAATCAAAATCAGATTTTTGATGCACACATACTGTTTTACATGTATTTATGATTTTGAAATAATGCGAGTGTGTTTCATAGTTTTTAGAATCTGGTTCAGCTGTGTATTTTTATGTTGCAAATCACAAGAAAAGCAATGCAATGTACACCAGTGTCAATGATGGGATGAAGCTAAATGTTAAACACAACTGAACAAAAAGACTAAGTTACAACATTCTGACTTTAAAACTTTATCAGAAGATGTTTTGGCCATCTTGTATATGCACCTGATGAACTCACCTGAGTCTGGCCTCGAGCAGAGCGTCTGCAGAGTTTCCTGAGACAGACCATGGTGCGTTCAGATGTCTGATTTGAGTCAGGAAACTCTCCACCTCCACATCTTCATCACTGATGTCACATGAGAGGAATACACATTTTATGAAACACAAACAACAACATCACAAAAAGAATTGTTTTTGAATTGTTTTCAGAACTGTAACAGTTTATATTTTGTAATTTGAGGTCATGTGATGGTACCTGACAGGGAGTGATGTGGTGAGGTGGAGGAGGGCCAACAGCAGGAACAGCTGAGAGACACTGATGGAAGGCATCATGTGGATTATGAAGTGACAGTTTCCTAAGGAGACAAATAGATTTTTCAAACCTCCTTTTGAATGCTTTTTCATTGTTTGCTTTCAATGGATGCAATAATATACAAACAGGTGACAAATTAAAAGAAAAAACAATACAAAGTGTTGTAGCCATGTGTCTGTATAGCTGCTTTGTATTGATTCTCCAAATCTCTGAAACTTGAGAGATGGGACACCACTGTTTTGATGGTGGTGGTAAAAAAAAGTGCTGTCTAACTTGTAGATCCAAAATCTCACATAAATATTCATTTGGGTTGAGATCTGGTGATTGTGAAGGCCACAGCATCTGTGCATCAACGATTCAGTGTTTACTTTTCAAAACTTCATAACAAAAAGGGAAGATTTACAAAAGCTAAAAAAAAAAAGAGGAAAACATTACTAAGTTTTAATTTTGTCCATCATCAGAACATACATGACAATAATTGTATGTAATTGTGTAAATATATTGTTTAAAGTTATTAGTTTAATTCATTGGAATTCATTTTAAATCTAAATTCACTTTTAAATTGAGCTCACTAAATTCAGTCCTTTGAAAAATCGTTGCTTTAATATAAAACATATTTTTTAACATGCATTGCATTTAGATTGCTTTCTTTTGTGAACTTGGAATTTAAAGTGAATACAGCATACAGAGCTTAGTGACTTTATCTATCAGCAAGTTAACAAAAGTCAAAATTCAGACTTGTGATAATATAAAATTATATGTTAACATGACTTGGAATAAATTATACTCTTAAAACTGGATAAACTGAAATTCTGAACTAAAGATATTACGTCAAAAAGGCCTAACAAAATTTTACAGATTTTTTTTCAAAATGTTCTTTTATTTTTATTTTTATTTTTATTTTTTTTTACAGTGTGCAAAGGCATGATAGTGGTGTTTGATCTTTAATACACATTAGACAAAGATTCATCAGACCATTTTTATGAAATGTGTCTTTGATATACTGTACTATACCTCGTGGATACCCAGTTTCTGCAACAAAAAAAGAAAAATACTGCATGTGTAATGTAACTTTTTCTTTAACTAAACCCCCTAACATGCTGTTACTTGCATGTTCCCTGATCTTGTTGCTTTTTTTCTGTATCTACAGTTAAGTGACTATGAAAAATTCAGCATTAAGTCTAAATAAGGATGTTAATGGCCATACTGCTTGTAAATTGCAGTGTTACCTCATGAACAAAGTCAGATGAGCCATTGAGATTAATTCTACCTGCAGTTTAATACTAAAACAAAGAATGGTTGCACACTGAATAGATGCTCCCAAAACAGGTGAATTATTACGTTCAGTTGCGAAGAAAGGACTTAACCCTAAGCATGTGGCCAAGAAGACCCACACAATTCAGCTCAGACATCAATCTAATCTAATCCTCACTGTCAGTCTTACTCCAAAGGTGAATATTCTCAATGTGCACCCTGTTGTTTAACCTGGGATTCATACTTGGCCTGAGATAGTTACAGGTGCCTATGCCAAAACTTGGTGGTCACATGCAGAAAACTGACTGATGACACAAATCTTTTCATTGTACTCAGTATATCACACTTTCAAGAGCATCTATAGTGTGTGGGCATTCTTTGGGGTGTGCATGCACTGCAATACAGCATTGAAATAAAGAAAACAATTAAAATAAACCTTGTAAATCTTTAATAGGCCAGCATTTACATTGTTGTTTCTGCAGGCCTTCAGGAAAAAAGACTAAAGATTACCATGATGAAGCAGAAGAATGTCAAAATGAAAAAGTCCTGTCAACAGTCAATGTAAAAGGAGACTCACCTGGACCGATCCTGCTCAGAAACCAGATCAGATCTGCAGACTGGGTGTCCAGTCCACACTGCCTCCTTTTGTAGCACCTCAGGTATCGACACCCTGTCAGACTGCCCTCTGAATTTATTGGTCTGGTTATTTATCGTGTCAACACGTTGAGTTAGGAGATTTTCCAGCTGCAGTGTTGGTTTGTTGACTTCCTGAAGTCTTAATGAAATTATTGGATCTGACTTCCCTAATGAGCTCTAATCACCTGTGCGAGCTGCACATTGTTTGTTCACATGAAATCATTCACATGTTAGTACAGAGTATTGATCCATAACACACATTCAAATCTTTTTATTGCTGTGGTTTGTGCTTTTGTTTGCTTAGTGTCCGTTGTTCTCAATGGAAAATTGGACCTCAGGGCACTGTAAGAAGGTTTTTGCTCTTTGTGAGTTTAGACCCAACTAAGTAACAGACAAATATTCCTTTTGTTATGTTCCATCTAAAAGAGAGCTGTAATTAAATGCTCCTAGGGTTTACTTATCATATTATAGGCAAAGCAGCATCTGCTACATCTGTTATTGTAAGAAGATGCAACCTTGTATGATTAGATGAGTTCAACAAAAATGACTTTGTGAGAAAACCAAAACTTCCATTAAACAAACAAAAGGGGAAGCTCAAATACTTATGTAATTTCATCTTAGTTGTATCCATATGTATAAAACTTACAATCTCTCTTCTAAAGTAATTTTCTTCAGCTATCTAGTTGTACTCTCCGCTGTCTAACAACCTCTGCAGTATTCAGTCTTCTCTGCTGTGCTGCTGTTACAGACATGACTGAGCTAATCCGGACTTCTCAACTCACTCATGGGCTTGTCTTTTCTGTTAAGCAACAGAGGAGACAAGCCCCCGACCTTGGGCTAGAAAAGGTATTTGTTTTCCAGCTTGTAAAGCTGAGGGCTGCATTACAAAGGGAGATTAGTGGGTTATCGAGGTATGTTGAGCCTAAAGTCAGAGTTTAACCAGCTAGCTTACCATGATAACTAACGCTGTGAGGCTAACCTGGTCTAAGGTTATGGAATTATATTTGTGCCTCAATCCTGAGCACGTAAAGGGAAATTTTGAGCGCAGAAAACAACCTTCAGCAAATAGATACTTAATCTGAGCAAACGAAAATCTATTCTGCGCTCAAAACTATTACTGCTGCGTTTGCATCTATCAACATACACAGTTTTGTCATTTACGTTCTCACAGATCTCCATTCTGAGGACTCACTGCCCGCCCACATTCACTGGCTTCTGCTAACAACGTTAGCCTCCAAATGTGGAGCTTAACTCTACAGGTGAGTGTTAAAGTGGCCTCAGTAACTGGCTGTTTTCTGTCCACATCTGGACGATGTTACACATAAAAGCAATGACCTGCATTATTGTAGCTGAAGTGACTGTAAGTTAACATCAGACTGGAGCCTCTGATGGTAAAACAGGATCTAACATTGTGATTGAAAGTTGTTCTGTAAATCTCAGGTTACGCTTCCTGACTAGTGAACGCTGATGCTACATCAGGTTTGTCAGTGTCACAAATGAGTTACCTGTTGTCTGTGACTAGTTTCCTGTAGGTCACATCTGATCAATCATAACAGATCGATAACGTTATTACAGTATTGTAATAAACCTTTTTCTTTGTTGAAAGAGTGTAGAGAGCCTGTACATAGAATATTCTAAAAATAGAGGGAAACCAAACAATCAGATAAAAGTACAATGCTTTATTATAAATATTGGCATACAACAAACACTGGTATTTGGGACCCTGGCTGAGACCTATCATCCCCTATAATGGCGCCCACATGAGCCAAGTGAGCGTATGGGCTGTCACATTCACCCTACGTGAAGCTACACCCCCTTAGGGCACTGCACACTGGTCTGCACTGCAACCCACACTGAACTTACCCCCCTCAGGGCACACAGAGACACTGCACATCTCGTATTCTGGCGTTTTATGGCGTTGTGGCCAAATTCCAGGGATTCCTCAGACTTTTGCAGACCGTTTTACTAACGTTTAATCACCACCTCCTGTAGTTTGTGCTGGCCAACTTTCAGGTGTGTATGACCTTCCCAGCAGGAGGAGATGGATATTGAAAATGGCCAAAAATGGCCAAAAGTCAGGCAAAATCGCCAAAATTGTCACTGGGGTTTTTTTTTTCTAAAATGGTGGACTTCCTGTTGGGTTTAGGGCTTGGCACATATGACTTTTTTGTGCGTCTTGACCTGCTACACATGCCAACCGTATCTTGTAGCTGTAGGTGAAACGGCCTTCCGACAGGACTGTGATAAATGCCACAGCGAAAATGGACAAAATGGCCATTGATCGAAATTGCATGGGCCGCCATGCCCAAACCGGGCCTCATCTGCGGAGCGTTTGAGTAAATTTTAATCACCACGTCCTGCAGTTTGTGCTGGCCAAATTTCAGGTGTGTATGACGTACCCCCTAGGAGGAGATAGATTTTGAAAATGGCCAAAAATGGCCCAACCTGCTCACCGTTTTTCCAATGTGGCAGATTTTCTGTTTGGTTTACAGAAACATGCTAATAAACTTTTTGTGTGTCACGAGTTGTTACATATGTGTGCCGAATTTCGTAGTTGTAGGTGAAATGTGGCCGCGATGGGACTCTGTTGAAATATTGTAGGGGGCACAGTTGAGCCATGTTGCATTTTAGAGCTTGGCGCTGGATGACTTTTTTGTTCGTCCTGACCTGCTCTATATGCCTACCAAATTTCGGAGCTCTAGACCAAACGTGCTTCCGATGGGACTCCGTTGAAATTTTCAAGGTGGCGCTGTGGAGCCATTTTGGCAGTGACATATCCAAGTCCCTTAAAATATCACATTTTTCGCCAGTCCTGGTGTGTGTGGTGATTTTGGTGAGTTGTCGCAAGTGTTTAGACCCTCTACTTAGAGTTTCTAAATTGCATCAAATTATAATAATAAACCTAACGGTTTCAATAGGGTCCTTGCACTGTTAGTGCTTGGACCCTAATAAACACAGGGCAAACAGTAAGGTCAGCGCTTTTGCAGTCATTATTGCCATTACTAACTTAGCCCATAGTAATACATGACACACAAGCTCTAAAACAATTAGCATTACACTGGCTATGGCAAAACCTCAAAGTAAGCAAGTACAAAGTGTATAAAAACAGCTAACATTCTCACTTACATCACACATCCTGATTATGTCGGAGGAATCCTCTGAAAGCAATTTTGGAAGATCGAGTAGGGCAGCCATTCTTCTGTTTTGATTTGTGTCCTTCAGGAAACAAAAAGACAACACTATGTAAATATGACACCCAAGCTCAAATCCTAATTTTAGTTCACATCATTGAGAATAGTTTCTCTATACAATACTTGCCTCCTTTTGAAGACAGTGCAGAGGTCACCACTCAGGGTCAACATTCTTCCAGATGCAGCTTTGTACGCTTCGAACAGACTTGGAACCATGAGATCTAGTCCTTCTAGGAATGACTCCAGCAGGTCTTTGGTGACAATTCTGCTGAACTCTGCACATAGCTGAAACAGACATAAGAAAATAGACAAAAGACAGGAGTGAGAGAAAATAAGAGCAGCATATAGCAGCTGTAGCAATTGAAACAAAGAAATCAGATATACACCAGCAAGACAGAGTACATACTTTGTGTGCTGTGGAACAAGTATTCAAATCCTATAGTTCAGTAAAAGAGCTAATACCATATTGAAGATACTCCACAGCAAGTTCAAGTACAGCATTTTCAGCAAACATAAGGACCTTAAAGAGGAAGTGTTCACATTGTGGTTAAATCTTTCCTCTTTGTATTTTTTTTGGCCGAAGTTTCAATTTCAATGTACAAGTTATACTGACTGATTGCAAGTTTGCTTGTAAAGTAAGTCAGATATATGTAGTGGATGGAAAAGTGCAATATTTTACTGCTGACTACTCAATTTGTACTCAATAGGCAAAGGATTACCCATCTCTCACAAAACAATGCAGCCCATCTGTCCATGACAGCAGAAATCACCAATGATCTCCTTTCTCCGCTGTGAGAATGTTGCAAGCATCAGTTTGTCCAGAAGCTGTAAATCCGGGTCCCTCTTCTGCACTTCCAGAACCATGGTCTCACGATCCTTCTCTGATTTAACAGTAGTCTGTCCCTCAGGCGGCTCTGGCACATAGTGGATCTCTCCTTTTTTTGACTTCTTGACTGGCTTGCACTTTTCCTCTACTCTTTTTCCTTTATTTACAAGAACTTTTGGGCATCCAGCTGCCATCATTTTCTGACGATAATTGCCCATCTTAAATCTTAAACTAAATACCCAGCAATACCATCCTTTACCTGACCCTGGCTCTCTGAGACACAGGTGCATTGAAACAAGAGCTTTGGCCACACTTTCATAGTGGTCTTTGTTGGGATAGGCTGTGATTTTGGATATGATATCAACAAGTCTGTCCAGTATTTCACTCTTCACACCGTTTGAGATGATCATCATCACAGTTCCATCCTGGGCATAGGCATCATTTGCGGCCCTCAGCTGAAACACAACATCATGGGAGAAAGCTGGAATAACAAAGGGGTCAGGCCATTCTGTTGAATCACAACTGCTTGGAGATCCAAAGCTTACAGTATCTAGTGTTGAGTCAGAAATCCCTTCATAAGATGTGAACAAAACTTTGAGTGTGGCTCGTTCATTTGGTAGCTCCTTAATGTCTGTCAAATTGCAGAGCTGATTCCCAAAGTCTGGATCTTCAAACTGTAAAATAAAGTTTCCTCTGAGACCCAAAGTGTTGCACAGTTTTACACACAGTTCATCAACTGATGGTGGAATATCCTCTAGGGTGACAAGCCTTATTTCTTCAGGTGAGAGGATAACTCCGAGAAGCATCACTGAAGTGTTAGCAACAACTGAAACAGTGAACAAAATCATCAGGAAACAACCGTTGAAAGTGAATCAAAAATAAGTTGTGCAAAAATAAAAATGTCCATAAAAAAAAAACCCCAGATATAAACAGCATACAATTAAACAACGAAATAGAGGTAGTTGCATTTATCCTGTTACGTCACCCAGACAGTATAGTGTGTATATAAATGTACAAAATAACACTTCTCGATCAAACTTTACCTTAATGTAACATGAATGTCCTTGGAGTGACCATCAACCGTCAGACCCCCTCCCCGCCCGCCACCACAGCATGCTCCTGTTGCACTGAACTGTGAAGCTAGCTAACCAGCTAACGTCAACTGAAGCCAGCAAATTTCATGTCGAAGTCCACTGAACAACTTCAGGAGCTCAAATCTTGCACCAGATTAAAACAACCTCATGTTCTTATACTTTCACATGTTTAGCTTTCTATGAAAACTTATTGCTGCAGTCTGCCCTTTCTCCCCGCCATGTGTCTCAGCGCAGACCATCAGACCCCCTCCCTGCCCGCCACCACAACATGCTCCTGTTGGACTGTGTAGCTAGCTAACCAGCTAATGCGGCTAATGTCAACTGAAGCAAGCAAACTTCATGTCGAAGTCCACTGAAGAACTTCAGCAGCTCATTAATGAAACGTATGTGTAGAATATTGACTGTGAGTACAGTGCATATTCAGGATTGACCCCTCAGAGACACCGTAGGTTTTTGCACATGCGCAGTGTGTGTTGTTACACTGATGTATGTACCTGCCCGTGGCATGCCTCCTGCCCTTTGTTATATTAAAAACATAAATTCAGATGTGACCCAGTCGTCGTTATTACCACAACACGCAACATGGTGTCAGAAGTAGGGTTGTCACAATACTAAAATTTTAAACTCGATTTTGATACTGGGAAAAAAACTTGATACCGATTTTGATACCACAGAGGAAAAAAACAAACAAAACACCTTTTTATTGAACATACTTGAGATAGAATATAACAAATAATACTCCTTTTGTCAAAAAGCTTCTGTAACAGTGCAAACAAAGAATTATAAACAGTCTTAAAGTGTGCACTAAATACTGTAAACAGAATCGTTTCACACAGTTTCACACTAACTTTTAAAATGTAAAAGTATCAGCAGAGTACATTTATTTATTTTTGTATTTTTTTACAGTGCACGCCAGACATGGTCATCGTTGCTGATGGAATAAATTTATTTATTTATTGTTTATTTGATGTGGACATAACAATTTTTGGACAAACCAGATGCATTGTTTGAGTGTTTTAGCAGGTCATGTAGGCTGAATGATTCTGCTTGTGGGTGGTTGGTCTTCTTCAGCATCAGTTTGGCACTTGAAGAAAAAAATGTGTCAAAAATTACAGATCATGATGTCACATTGAACAAAACCCCTGATTGCACCAACAACTTCAGCTTATTCACCTTTCTATCCTGGGGTTAACATGAACTCATGAAAATGTTCAGTGTGTTTGTGTTGGAAGTCAACTTTTACATTTAATGTGGGATGAAATTATTTATCAGTCCATGTAGTGCAATTTTACATTTCTCCGTGTGCTTGCTAAAAGCCTTACGGTGGTAATAACACGTTTTACGTGTATGATGGAGGAAAATATGCTAAAAGAGTCGCTATGGACGTCAATATATTTACACAGCTACAGCAGCGAGCCGTTAGCTTTAGCTTAATGCTCGCAGAGATTTTTTTGAACTACATAAGCACAAATTTGTTGGTGCAATCGGACGTATGTTTAGTAGTACACTATTTAAATTATTTACAAACCTGTTTCATGTCGTCGTAGAGGTTGGGCTGTCTGTCTTCCAGATGTCGTGTTACTTGACTTGGTGGCTTCGCCTTGAAGCTCTGCTTGATACAGGCCGGTCAGTGTGTCCCCTCTCCCGACTCGGTGGTCGTGGTATCCAGATAGCAATTCTGATATCTGAATATTTCTGTTTCCTTCCAAGCTGCGGCTTCTTCTTCTACTGATTCCCATCAGGCTGCCGTACACAGCGCCACCCTGGGCTCTGGAGGGAACGCGCGTTGGCGTCAACTGAAGGAGGCTGCGAGAGACGAAAAAGTATCGATACCACGGGAACTGAATATCGTTGCTCGATACCAGCTTTAGTATCAATTTAGTATCGAGGTATCGATATTTTTGACAACCCTAGTCAGAAGTCTAGGACTTATATTTTACATGACTGCTACGAGTGAGCATTTTATGAGTGGGACCACGCTGATTTCTTCTCAACATGACAGATGGCTTCAGATGATCCGATCCACTTGTGTTCGATGGCAACATAGCAGAGAACCGGTGCATATTTGAGCAGGAGTATAACATTTTTATTTCTGCAGCACACCCGGACAAGCCAGCGCGGACTCAAGCCTACATTCTGCTGAACCTGGCCGGACCCGAAGCCATCGAGTGCGAAAGATCTTTTGTTTACACTGTAGAGGTGCGTGAACCAGGAGAAGGTGGACGTGTTCTTGTTCCCATCGAGTCGAAGGAGGGCCCGGAATGCCTCAAAAGAAAGTTTAGAGAAATGTGTAACCCTCAAACAAACATAACGATGGAAAGACTCAAATTCAACACACATAACCAAAAGGCAGGTGAGACTATTGAATCCTATGTAAGTGATTTGAGAATCAAAGCTAAGAGCTGCAACTTTGGTGAGCTGTCTGAAGAGCTTATCAGAGACAGGCTAGTCTGTGGCATAAATAATGACCATCTCAGAAAAGTCCTGTTGCATGACAGTGATCTGACTTTAGCCAAGGCCATTTCAGTGTGTCAGATTCATGAAATGACTGAAGAGCATAACAAAACACTAATGTCCCCACACAGCCCTGTAACAAATGTGGATGCTGTTCAAACCAGACATGTCAAGTGAAAGGAGTCAAGATACTATGACAAGGCTAAGTTCAACACAAATATAAACTCACCTCAGTTCATTAGTGGCTGTAATAACTGTGGCGGTAATCACATAGCAAAGAGAGACAAATGCCCAGCTTATGGCAAACAGTGCAATGCATGCAAGAAAATGAACCACTTCAGAAAGTGCTGCAAGTCCAGACCGCAGTTTGACAGGCATAGGGGAAAAAAGTCAGTCCACCAAGTGGACATGGAAAAAGAGGACAGTGACAGTGAAACCTACAATGTGAATGGAATTACACTGGACATAACAGTGGATTCCGCTTGTGTACAAACACAGGGAAAAGAAGAGGCTTTCACTATCCTACAGATTAATGGCAGCACAGTTGAAATGAAAGTAGACACTGGTGCAAAGTGCAATGTCGTCTCAGCACAGACATTTGACCGAGTGAAGATAAATGAACAAATAAAACCATACAGTAAACCAATCAATCTTGTTGCTTATGGTGGTAGCAAGATACAGACTCTAGGATTTGTTGAGTTATGCTGCCATCAAGGGGCTGAACGTCATTCTCTCCCATTCTTCATCATTAACGAGAATGTGTCGCCATTGGTTGGACTCAGTGCTTTATTACAGATGGGACTTATATCTCTCAGCAAAGAAGTCCACCAAGTGAGTAGCTCCACTGTTCAAGATTTCTCTCAGCAAATCAAAAGTGAATATAGTGACCTTTTTGCAGATGAACTTGGAAAGCTACCAGTCACACATTCAATGACACTTGACCCAGAGGTGAGACCTGTAGTTCACCCTGCACACCGCATTCCTGTTGCAATGAAAGAACAAGTCAAAGCTGAACTGGACAGAATGCAAGAATTAAGTGTCATTGCACCAGTCTTTGAACCCACTGACTGGGTATCCACTATGGTTGCTACCAACAAAAAGGAAAAAAGGAAATAGGAATCTGCATCAATCCAAAAGACTTAAACACCGCACTGAAGCGACTGCATCACCCTATGCGTACAGTTGAAGAAGTCATTTCGCAGATGTCTAATGCTACAGTTTTCTCAGTCCTAGACGCAAAGAACTCCTTCTGGCAAATCTCCCTCGACCACAAATCCTCAATGCTAACCACTTTTAGCACTTGTTTTGGTCGCTACAGATTCCTACGGATGCCATTTGGAACCAGCTCTGCTAGCGAAGTGTTCCAGCGCTCCATGGAGCAGATCTTCGCTGGTTACCCCTGTGCAATCATTGTGGATGATATACTTATTGGAGGCAAAGACATTGAGGAACATGATGCTAACCTGAGAAAAGTACTCAACAGAGCCAGAGAGGTAAAGTTTAGACTCAACTCCCTCAAATGCAAATTCAGGCTGGACCAGGTCTGTTATGTTGGTCATGTTTTCACTGCCCAAGGTTTAAAAGCAGACCTGTCTAAAACCAAAGCAATCAGCGATATGCCTGTGCCTACTGACATTCCAGCCTTACAAAGATTTCTCATTTTGGTAAACTACCTTGGGAAATTTATTCCCAACTACAGTGAAATCACAGCACCGCTATGACAACTCACACACAAGGACACCGAGTGGTCCTGGCATGAACAGCAGCAACGTACTTTTGACACTTTAAAGCATCACATTTCAAACCCACCAGCACTGTGTTATTACTATATTCACAAACCAGTCACCCTTACTCGCGACGTTTTGCAATACGGACTTGGGGCAGCATGCCTGCAGGAGGGCAAGCCTGTGGCTTACGCCTTGCGCACCCTCAATGACTCAGAGACTCGGTATGCTCAGATAGAAAAAGAACTGTTAGCAGTTGTTTTTGCTTACTCAAAGTTTCATGATTACATCTATGGCAAACCGATCACTATCGAGACCGGCCACCAACCTCTTGTGACAATAATAAAAAAGTCCATTCATGCAGCGCCCACAAGACTACAGCACATGATGCTAAGGCTTCAGAAGTACAGCATTACTCTGGTCCCCAGAGGGGATTTTGTTTAGTTTCATAGTTGAGTATGTTTTTTGAGAGTCTTTTATTTTTCCTCTTTTGTCAGAAGATTAAATCTCCTCAGCTTCATGGTCCCTTTATTTTTGTTGTTGCACCCTTTAGGATGCACAGGGTTGGGGGGAGGGGGAGCAAGGATGCAGGCTTCCTGTTTTGTGCACAGCAACCCCGGTTGGGGAGTGCTGACATGTTTGACTCAATGTTATATGTATTTACTTTAAAAGTCTGTGTCCTTTACACCCCATTTCTAAGTTTTTCCATTCCTAATTGTCTGCCAGTATGTATCATGCTGGCCTGGATACCTGCTCCAGAGGTCTTGCAGCTAATATCTTCTCCTACAATGCAACTTTTTCTGGTATACCATGAGTAACATAAAAATTGTTAGCGTTAACATTAGAGGGATAAACCATGTGGTCAAAAGACATAAACTACTTTCCTACCTAAAGAAGGAAAATTGTTTGAGATCTGAAAGATTGGCTTTCCCGAGGAAACCCATCTTTCAGATCTCAAACACCTTAAATTATGTAGAAGCTGAGTTGGTCAGGTCTTTTACTCCTCTTTTAATAGCAGTAACCACAGAGTGGCAATTCTTTTGCACTGCAGTCTTGCATTTAGAGTGGACTAGGAGATCAAAGACAAGGAAGGGCGGTATGTTTTAATATCTGGCTATATTTTTAGGGAACACGTTGTAATTGGCTGTGTTTATGCACCCACAGTATATGAACCATCATTTCTACCTGGTTTACTTGCAGATATTTCTTCATGATCCTGCTCCCATATGGTGCTTGGAGGAGACTTAACTGTGTGCTTGATCCTAGCATCGATCGGTCTCCTTCTAAAGATAGGAGATCTCAGAAAAGTACCAACTTGTTAGATTTTTGTAAAGATATGGAACTGTTCGATGCATGGAGGATATTGAACCCTAAAGGACGAGACTTTACATTTTTCTCTTGACCCCATCAGTCATTTTCTAGAATTGACTACTTCCTAATTTCAAGAGGGATTCTGGAAAGGATTACTGAATGCTCAGTTGCAACTCAAGTCCTCTCAGATCACTGCCCCATTAGTGTCACTTTCTGTCTCCATACAATGATCCATCTCATAGACATTGGCGCCTAAATCCTCATCTCATGAGTAACTCCAAGTTTAGAAATTTACTAAAGAACTGGAATTCTTTCTGGCAGTGAATAGAACACCAGACGTTAACCCTTCGACTCTATGAGAAATGGCTAAATGTTATTTAAGGGGTTCTATTACATCATACGGCTCTGCAGAGAAAAAACTTTTACTAAAAACTCAATTAGAGCTTGAGGAAAAAGTAACATTTTTGGAAGAAGAATTTAAGTCCAATCTCACAAAACCACATGGGAAACTATTGGATGCAGCAAGAGCAGCATTGGACCAGGTGCTTACTAAAAAAGGTGAAACTTCAATTTTCTTTGCCAGACATAGACTATATGAGTCCGGCAGTAAACCAGGTCGCCTCCTTGCTCGACTAGCTAGAGGTAGAGTAGAAACTAACAGTATCTCATCACTCAAGAATGGAAGGGGAGAAAACATATACACCTCACTCGATATCAACAAAACTGAGACTTTTTTTTTACCAGAACTTATATTCTTCGGAATATCATTCCTCTGCAATGGCTCTAGGGGCCTTTCTAGATAAACTGGAGCTCCCTAGTCTTACTGATGAGCAGAAGGGAGAGATAAATAGACCTAAAACAGAGGATGAGGTTTTGGAGGCCATCAAGACACTAAAGGGGGGGGGGGGGGGAAGCCCCCGGCCCGGATGGATTTGGTCCAGAATTTCATAAAACATTCAGCAAGATTCTAGTCAAACCTCTGACAGATATGTATCAACATTCTTTTAAAAGCCATAAATTACCACAGTCTCTTAATCTGGCCAATATATCCTTGATTTTAAAAAAGGTAAACCTCCAGAGGAGTGTGGCTCATTGCGTGCTATTAGCTTGGTTGGGGTTGAGAGTAAAATACTCTCAAAAGTTATGGCAACTAGACGAGAGGGACCTCTACCAAGTCTTATTAATTCTGATCAGACTGGATTCATACAAAACCGTCCGTTATCCTCTAACATCCGAAGACTTCTAAATGTGATTCAATATACAAATCAGCATGGTAGCAAGGCTCTTACTGTATCCCTAGATGCTGAAAAAGCTTTCGATAGGGTGGAGTGGTGCTATTTGTTTGATGTTTTGAGGAGATTTGGTTTGGGGGGTAACTTCCTTAGGTGGATACAAACTATTTATGACTCACCAGCGGCTAGTGTTGTCACGAATGGTCTCCGCTCTGAACCCTTTCCACTGGCGAGGAGTACCAGACAAAGCTGCCCCCTTAGTCCACTTCTGTTCGCAACAGCCCTGGAACCCCTTGCTATAGCTATTAGGCTTAATGCAGACTTAAGGGTGTCTCAGTGGGGAACACTATTCACAAAATAGCTCTCCATGCCAACGATGTTTTACTCTTTCTTTTATCTTCCCCTTAAAGTTCAATCCCTGTTGTTATGTCATTGTTGAAAGGACTTAGTAGTGTATCTGGTTACAAGGTTAACTTTGATAAGTCTGAGGCAATGCCTATTGGCAGACTAGATGTTGATGACTTGACAGATTTCCCATTTAGATGGTCTAGCTCAGGTTTAACTTATTTAGGAATTAAACTATCCCCCAATTTGTCTGATCTTTGGAAACTAAATATTTCCTCGACTATATGTGCGGTTAAAAGAGACTTACAACGTTGGTCGAATCTCTCTTTGTCCTTTATGGGCAGAATCAGTTTGATCAAAATGAATGTGCTCCCCAGGATTCTCTACCCCCTACAGATGTTGCCCCTATGGATGCCCAGGCAAGTAGCCTCCAGTATTGAAAAATTGTTCTCTGAATTTATCTGGCTTGGTAAGAAGCTGAGGGAAAAAAATTAGGATTCTACAAACACCAACCAATGCTGGTGGTCTTGGCCTACCCAACATAATTTTTTTATAACTGGGCCTGCCATGCTCAGGTAATTTAGGGTTGGCTTCGCTCATATCTTGACATCTTGACTCAACCTTCTTCGTTGACTCCTGGACATGCTCATCTACATCTATGTGGGGCCGGATTAATTGCAAAGGGCAAAACCTTGTGAAAGAGGTCAAAGCTAATCTGAGAGTCTACAACTCTGTGAGGGTCAGGAGGGATATAGTTAGTTTTTCTGGGAGAAAGGATTTGGTCTCTATGCTGACATCTATTTGTGGGAATGTTGACTTCATCCCGGCTCACAGTCGTTCAATTTTCGAGATTTGGAAGTCCAGAGGCATTAAGTTTATTGGAGATTTATTCAAAGATGGTATTGTAATGTCTTTTCAGCAACTTCGACTTCAGTATGGTCTTCCAAAGGAGCATTTTTTCAGGTACTTGCAGATTCGCCACTTTATTAGGGAACTGAGTCTCCCTTCCCTCAATACTCCTAAGTTAAGTGCCCCAGAATCCTTTCTTATTAATTGCAAGAATTCCTCCCATTTTATTTCCTCCTTTTATGACTTGTTACATGACATCTGTCCTGTAAGCTTGTTTAATGTCCAGCGTAAATGGGAAAGGGACATAGAGTACGACTGGCAAGAAGCTTCGAACTGTATCAAAAATGTGTTCTCTTGAAATAGACTGAGTGAAACTCAATCCAAAATTCTTCATAGATTACACATAACACCCTCCATCCAGAATAAGATGGACCCAGGCCTGTCACCACAATGCCTGAAATGTCTCAGAGAGAGAGGGGACTATATGCATCTTTTTTGGCAGTGTAAATACATATCGCATTTCTGGTCCTGTATAACAAAAGAGCTCTGTGACATTCTCAAAACTAAAGTAACCAAGGATCCTGGCCTCTTCCTACTGGGTCTGCCTTCTAAATTTGTGTCACTCCCCTCTCTTAAATTTAAACTGCTAGATAAGCTTTTACTTCTGGCAAGAAAATGTATATTGTTGAAGTGGATAAAGGACAAACCTTCCACTGTTGCTATGTGGTACAAAGAGATTTTTTCTGTACTTCCACTCTAGAGGATTAGCGCTGTGATGAAAGGCAATGAACAGTTATTCTTGACCACTTGGCAACCACTCATGGACTACCTTCCTGTGGACAGTCTTGACTTACTGTCAAAAGGATTCTCTCATCTCAATTGGAAGCCCTCTGGACTGAAAACGGACACTGGACATTCTTATTCAGGCTGAGGCTAGACTTAAATGTGATGGACTCTGGCAGGTTAATGAAAGTATGAAGCAAGCATGATGAGGAAATGGGGTATTTTGTATATTTTGTTTACTTTTTTGTTTTTGTTGTTTTAACTTTATTGTTTGATTTGTTTTTGTTTTGTCTGTTTGTTCCTTTAGTCTTATTG